TGGGATGCTGCAATTGTCCATCCATCCATCATCTTGCTGAGTGCCTGACGTTCGGTCAGGGGACCATAGAGATGCCCTGGCCACAAGAACTTCAAATCAGAGTCATTAGTAGCCCAAAATATCTTAATTTTGAATGGCCCCTAAGCGACTAGTCGTAAGTCAAGGACTACTTGTATTTTCCTCCCCTGCTAATCTCACACACACATATGCACACATGCACAGATGCACACGCACACACACACGGGTGGGATTCAGCCGGTTCGGGCCGGATGTTAACTGGATGTTAATTTTAATCTGGTTTACCAAACCGGTTGTTCCAAGGACTGGCTGATCCCACCCAACCCGCCCCTCCCCTCCTAGGAGTCTCCACGCGGCCCGTTTTGGATGCCAGGTAAGTGCAGGGCATTCATGGAGGCTCTGGGAGGGCGAAAAATGGGCGTACCGGAAGTCCGGAAACAGGCCTGTTTCTGGCCTCTGGAGGGCCTCCGGTGCCTGGGGAGGCTATTTTTGCCCTCCTGGAGGCTCCAGGAAAGCCTCTGGAGCCTGGGGAGGACGAAAACACCTCCCCCCATCATGGTGCAGGAGGCCGAGTAGGCCACGCCCCCATGGCCACGTCCACCCAGCAACCGGGCAGCGAACCGGTTGGTGAAATTTTTCAATCTCACCCCTGCACACACACGCATGCACACACACACACACACACACACACACACACACACACAGAGTTTTCTTCACATAATCAAAGCGAACAACAGGAGATTAAATGCCTCCCATGCAAAGATGGATTGAGTTGATGAAAGCAGTTTATTTCAAGGCTGATCTGCTGCTACTTAGCCGGCCTCTGATTACACAAATGAAACCTCCGTTGCCCCCTGCTCAGATCCCCCTAAGAAAAAGTAATTTACACTCTTCGGGACAAATCCCATCAGAGTCTTCCATCATCTTGCCAGCTCCAAGCATAATTACCACCTCTCTTTTTTTCTTTTTTTGCGTCCCTCCTGGGACACGAAGCCCAAAGGAGCGAGCTCATAAACGGCCAGAAATGGCCCAAGCTTTCTCTTAAATCTGTTGCTATGATTTGTGGGAACTGGCTGTTTCATTTTCTTGCATTGACTAATAAATTAACTTTCCCCTGTGCTGTGTCGTCTGGACCACTAAAAATGGACCATCCGTTAAAAGCTCTGGGAAACATAAACCAGCCAGAACGGTAGAAAACTCTGGTTTTCAGCACATTGATTAATTATCTCCATCAAGTCAATCTTGATTCTTTGAGAACCACAATAGATAGATTCTCTCCGTGATGATCTGTCCCTAAGTGGTCCTTCAGCTGTTCTAAGAGTGGCTGCAGCCATCACTACTGTAACTGAGTCCATCCGCTTTACTGCGGTTGTCCTCGTCTTCTCTTCCCTTCCAACCTTCCCAGTGTTGTGACAGGATTTGGGGTGGGATGAGGTGGCCCAATATTACCATCTGTTAAACACACCTACACACAATGAGATAATAACTTCAGTTTATACTAAGATTCTTTCTGTGCACTTATTAGGGGGCCCGTATGCTTTTGGATATCAGCAAAACACTAACACCAAATCTTGATGCGACAATACACACTGAGCTCTTTTTTTGTTTTTGCATTATTTTTAGTGTATGCTAATTAGTGTGTTATTTTAGTGTTAATTTAGTGTGCTAATTAGCGATCTAGTACAGGTCACAGAAATCTCTCTCTCTCTCTTTCTCTCTCTCCCATCTATTTCTATCTACCACCTCTTTATCTTTCATCTATCATCATTATATCTCTCTATCTACCTCTCTCTCTCTCTCTCTCTTTCTATCTATCTATCTATCTATCTATCTATCTATCTATCTATCTATCATCTATTTATCTATCAATCTATCAATCTATCATCTATCAATCTATCTAATTATCTATCATTTATCAATCTATCTATCTATCTATCTATCTATCTATCTATCATCTATCTGTCTATCAATCTATCAATTATCTATCTATCATTTATCTATCTATCTATCATCTATCATCTATCTATCAATCTATCTATCTATCATCTATTTATTTATCTATCTATCTATCTATCTATCTATCATCTATATATCTATCATCTTTGTATCTATCATCTATCTATCTATCAATCATCTATCATCTATCATCTATCATTTATCTATCAATCAATCATCTATCATCTATCTATCTATCAATCCATCTATCATCTATCTATCATATCTATCTATCTATCATCTATTTATTTATCTATCTATCAATCATCTATCTATCTATCATCTATCTATCATCTATCTATCATCTATCTATTTATCTATCTATCTATCTATCTATCATCTATTTATTTATATCTATCTATCTATCTATCTATCTATCTATCTATCTATCTATCTATCTATCTATCATCTGTCCATTATCTAACTATATCTCATATGATGTGATTTTTTGCCGTTCACATGTGCTATATTTGACTGAAGAATGTTTGTGTTCCTGAACACAGGAACAGGACACCTGAAATAGGCATGACATAATATGTGTAATCACAAGGGAAAAAAGTGCTTCATTGCAGCATTTTACCAGTATAAGAAATTACTACAACGGAACTCTAAAGAGCAAAATCTTCAGTTGGACCTTTGTTCTACCTACTGTACTTCAATCCCTAATCTCTTTGGAAGTCTGCTGGAGAGGATGGCTTTAATAAATTTAATGAAATAAATAAATGGCCGTTTCCCATGTTTTTCAGAGGGTCTTCCACCCTTCACTAGCTCCCAGGTAAGTAGGAGAACGTGGCTACAAAAAGATGATGATCCACCTTAGAGCAGTGTTTCTTAAATTTGGCAGCTTGAAGATGTCTCTGGGCTTCAACTCCCAGAATTCCCAACCATGCCTATGCCGACTGGGGGATTCTGGGAATTGAAGTCCAGATATTTTCAAGTTGCCACAGTTGAGAAACACTGCCTTAAAGGAACAGAGATACTTTCTCCAAGCACCAAACCATCATTAAAACAGCCCCATCTATTATAGATTATAGGCATACAGAGACCACATCCTGTTTTCTTATGAACTAGTGCAGACAAGCTGTGGCTCGCTGCTTTTCCACGGCTAAGATCAAGAATGCATTCCCTGACCCTCTTTCCCCCCCCTCCCCTCTAATTACGGTTTTTATGGCTCAGACAGCATGATTCATGGCTGCTCAAATACTGCTTGCTCTAAAAATCGGACCGGCCTTATGGTTCCACGGGCAAGAACAGCTGCCCACAAACAATCCAAGATTCCCACGGTACAGTGCAAGGATCAGGGCAGGGAGCAATAAACGTCCAAACCAGAAGGGTGAAAACATTTATCCATGTGGCGAAGTGGTTTTGCTCCGTGGCAGAAGCCAGAGGCATCTCTTCATGATCCATTTGGCAAGTCAAGAGGGGTTTCGTGACCTGTATCAATTATGCAAAGGGAGCACAGCATACAATCTTCCCTTGCATAACTTATTTTATTATATATATATATATATATATATATATACTGTATATATGTGTGTGTGTGTGTGTGTGTGTGTATTTGCAGCTTTTCCTCTTAAAGCCTCTCCTAATTATGTGAGTCACAATCTGCTGAACCTTCAAAGCAGTGGTGAAATGTAAAATTTGTTACTACCGGTTCTGTGGATGTGGCTTGGTGGGTGGCGGGGTAATATGACTGAGTGGGTGTGGCCAACTTTTTTTTTTTTACTTTTAAAACCATTTTTTCTACAACCTCTTCAGCTGGAGAGGTTGCAAACAAAATGTTTTTAAGGCCTCTGATTATCCCAACTGAGCCGTGCAATCATCAGAGGCTTTTTTTTTACTTTTAAAAGCATTTTTTTGGCCAAAGAGGTTGTAGAAAAAATGCTTTTAAAAATTAAAAAAAAGCCTCTGATGATTGCGCAGCTCAGCTGGGCAATGAGGGGGGCAGGGATTTTTACTACCGGGTCTCCGAACCACCCGCCTCCATCGCTACTGGATCAGGCAATCCGGTCCGAACCGGGAGCATTTCATCCCTGCTTCAAAGCCTAAGCTACGTTGGCTGGGAAAATTATCCATCCACATTTGTGTGTGCTTCTTGGTTTCCTTCAAAAACAAAAAATTAACAAGAAGAGGCTTTTGTTAATTCTCCTCAAAGGGAGATTCAACCAGGAAATATAGGTATTTCATTTAGTAACCGTTCTAAGTTACAACAGTACTGGAAAAAGGGACTTATACTGTTTATCACACTTAGAACCCTTGCAGCATCCCCATGGTCACGAGATCAAAATTCAGATGCTAGGCAACCGGCTCGTATTTATGACGGTCACAACGTCCCAGGGACGTGAGATCAACTTTTGCGACCTTCTAACAAGCAAAGTCAACGGAGAAGCCAGATTCACTTTACAACTATGTTGCTAACTTAACAACTGCACTGATTCACTTAACTACTGTGAGCAAGAAAGGTCATAAAATGGAGCGAAACTCCCTCAACAATGGTCTCAATTAGCGACAGGAATGTTGGGCTGAACTGTGGTCGTAAGTCGAGGACTGCCTGTAAGGAGGAATTTCCTGACAGGGAGAACGATGAATCGGCGGAACAGTTTGCTTCCCAGAGTTGTGGGGACTCTGGGATCTTTTCTTGAAAATCACTGAAGATTTTCAAGAAAAGACTAGATAATCATTTGTCCAGAATTGTATAAGGACTCCTGCCTTGGACAAGGGGCTGGACTGGAAGACCTCCAAGGTCCCTTCTAGCCCTATGACTCTATGACGGGGTGGGCAACTGTGGCCCTTTTACAACCTGTGGACTTCATCTCCCAGAATTCCTGGAATTCTGGGAGTTGAAGTCCACAGGTTGTAAAAGGGCCACAGTTACCCACCCCTGCTCTATGATATCCACCAAAATGGCTCTCCAGTGGGAGAGAATGCAACCAAGAAAAGGCATGTTTGCACAAGGCACACACACAGGGCACAAAAGCTGGCCTTACCGTTCAGATTTGAAGTAAAGCAGAAGGCATCGTAACGCTCGCGGTCTTTGTGCCGGTAGCCGTAGTTCCTCACTCCAACTGGGGTGTCTTTTCGTCCACATTCATCCCGGGCCTTGGAGATGGGATACTGGACAGAGCCATCTTCCAGCCACCCAGCGTTGCACCAATCCAGTCCATCCAGCCAGGCTTCGTGCAACTGGTCGTAGGAGGCCAGGATGCCGTCCTGCTCTAGGCAGGCCTTCTGCGCTTCATGGAAATTCAGCGAGTAGCGCCCCAAGCGAGGGTGGTAGGGGAAGATCACCCCTAAAAGAGAGGGAGAGGAAGCTCAGGAGTTCAGGTCAAAGGCCAACCTTACCCAGGCTTACCACACGTGATGCCTTCCCAAAGGATTGGATTTCCAAGAGGACAAAATACACTGAAGATGTTACCTAGCTGGGTAATGAGATGTCTGTAAGAGAACAATCAGGTTCAGAGAGCACCAAGGACTTCTCATTTCAACTATGAGCTACAAATATTCTATTGGGACAAAACTAATGCCTTACAGAGGGATGCCCACATGGAAATTGAGGGTTACATCATTTTAACCACTCTGGAAAGTTTGAAAAGATGTCAATAGGATCAGACAATCCTGGATTTTAAAGGACCATAAATCCTCAAATCCCAACTGTCATCATTGTTGTCATCTTCTTCATCATCATCATCATCACCACCACCATTACAATTTGTATGCTGCCTGACTCCCAATGCCTCTGGGCACCTCAAAAGTACAACCATTAAAAAAAAAAATACAATAAGGAACAAAATAAAACATAGTAAGATCTCCCAGATGAGGGAAGGAAGAAGGGAGGGAGGGAGGGAAGGGAGGGAGGAAGGAAGGGAAGGGAAGGGAAGGGAAGGGAGGGAGGGAGGAAGGAAGGAAGGAAGGAAGGAAGGAAGGAAGGAAGGAAGGAAGGAAGGAAGGAAGGAGAGAGAAACAATCCCATATAGGGAGATAACTTTGAACCAGGCCAGGAGCCATTGAAAGAGGAAAAAAACAATGAGTCTATCCTGGGAAACTGGAGGGTGTGAGAAAAAAATCTCAAAATAACTCTGGCTTGATTCTCCTTGGTATAAAGGTAGGGGTGGGATTCTACCGGTTCGGACCGGTTCAGGCGAACAGGTAGCTCCGACGATCAGCTGGGAGCGAACCGGTTCGCTCTGACGATCAGGTGGGCCCGCATGCTGACCTATATCTTCTCAGCTGATTCACGTGGCAGGGCAGATTGACGTGCCTCAACTGTGTTACTCCCCAGCAGTAACGCAGAAGATAAGTTTTCATAAAACTGCGCAAATACGCATAGCGTGCATCAGGCGTGTGCATGCGCAAAGCGAGCGATCACCGAACCGGTTGTTAAACCGGCAGGATCCCACCACTGTATAAAGGGGATAGAAAGAAACGTTGTTAGGTTTTCAAGATGGTCTTATATTCAGCAGCAAACCCCTTCCTTCCTTCCTTCCTTCCTTCCTTCCTTCCTTCCTTCCTTCCTTCCTCCCTTCCTTCCTTCCTTCCTCCCTCCCTCCCTCCCTAGGTATAAATCTAATTTTCACCAAGAAACTTCCCTGTGCAGAATCCCTCCTTGCATACATGATGCATCCTACATAGATATAAATCCATCAAACGAAACAGATGGGCAATGCTACAGTTGTGAGGCTAGGCCGGGCCCACAACTGATGCCGAGAAGCAATGGAAACTCCCTGATGGGGGTCTTGTCTGAATGAATTGAGCAATCCAACTAGGCTCCGGGGAGCCAGATCTCAGAAACACCTGCACCCATGGCAGAAAGCGAGAACTGGAGAGGGGGGACAATTAATTTGAGATTGCAATGCTAAATAGGCACCTTCCTTAGTAGATGTGCTTTCCTTAATTCAGGGGTCTCCAAACCCCCAGGCCGCAGCCCACTATTGGGCCTTGAGCAGGGGTGGGTTCTAAATTTTTTTACTACCGGTTCTGTGGGCGTGGCTTATTTTGTGGGCGTGGTTTGATGGTCATGTGACAATTCTTTAGGATTTAGCAGAGGTACTGGTCTACCCAGAGGCTTTTAACTGCTTGCAGAGCTGTACCGGTCTACCCATTTGTTCTTGGAGGGTTCCAGTCTACCCACTTGTTTTTGGAGGCACCGGTCTACCCATTTGTTTTTCGAGCGCACTGGTCTACCACCACCATGCCTTTTAACACTGATCAGCTGTAGGGCGGTCCTTTGAAGCCCAAGGCAAGAGTTTAAACAGTTTTTTTCCTTCTAGCCGACTCGGGACGCAGAGAATAGATTGGGGGCGGGGCCAAATAAAATGTAAGAATAACACAGGGCTGGCGGGAGGGCCCAGCACCCAAACAAAGAGAACCAGTTCGGTGACATCATGTCGTCACTGCTACCAGCTCGGCTGAACCGGGCCGAACCAGGAGGAACCCACCACTGGCCTTGAGCTATTCAAAACCGGGCCATGGAAGTGGTGGGTGAGCACATGCATGTGTCTCTACATCCATAAGCAGCAGGTAAATGCGGGCAAACACGCATGCCCTAGAGATGGGATTCACTTACCTTCCCTACTGGTTCCTAAATGTGAGTGCGTGTGGGCACGCACACTCGCTTCTCTCCCTCGCGCCACCTCTGCACATGCACATGGCCTTCTGCGCATGTGCAGTAGTCACACATTATGTGTGGACGGGGCTACCGGTTCGCGCAATCTGGAGAGAACCGGCTGAATCCCACCACTGGCGTGCCCGCCACTCGTATGGAATCATCCCCTCTACCCCCCCTGACCAGTCCGTAAAGCTGGAAAGATTGAGGAATTCTGCCTTAGCTGAACCATTTTTTTAACAGCAAAGTTCGTACTTCCAACAGAATCCTATTTGATTGCATCAAGCCGCTTCTCTTCTCCATCATCATCCCACCCTAACTCAATCTCATCAGACTTCAGCTGAACATATATTTTCAGCGAAATGAGATATTGATTTAATGCAGCAGCAAAAGTCAGAGAAAGTGTTGGCAGGTGAAGGGATTCTCTGAGCCTCTAAGGTTACGTCTGAAACATTTCATAGGTCACTAAAGCTTATGCCTTCTAATAAAATTAGTCAGCAAAGGTGCTGCCAGACTCCGAAGGTTTGGCTGCCATAAAATAATATCTGTAATGACGATGATGACGATGAGGTTATCCATTCAGTCATGTCCGACTCTTGGTGATTCTAGGGGGCCTCTCCACATCTTCCAATCTTGCACTGCTTCTTTGATTTGTTCTATGCTATGGCTGCTGTCAGCTTTGATGGTGTCCAGCCAGGGCAGGGGTGAAATCCAATTTTTTTTTACTACCGGTTCTGTGGGCATGGCTTGGTGGGCATGGCAGGGGAAGGATACTGCAAAATCTCCATTCCCACCCCGCTCCAGGGGAAGGATACTGCAAAATCCCCACTCCTTCCCCACTACTGGGGCCAGCCAGAGGTGGTATTTGCCGGTTCTCCTAACTACTCAAAATTTCCGCTACCGGTTCTCCAGAAACTGTCAGAACCTGCTGGATTTCATCCCTGAGCCAGGGTTCCTGTTTGCTAGCATGTCTTTGGGTGATTTTTGTTCTGCTGGGTATCGAGTTGCCTGAGGTGACTTTTCTGTGCCCACCAGGCCATGCCCACCTAGTGCCCCCTACCCGGCCACACCCACCCAGCCGCCCCAAGTCAGCTGCCGAGAGTCATCCGTGCCGAGCCAGCTGCACCTAATCCTTTGTGTCGACCTGGCCACTCCCACCCACCCATGCCCACCTGGCAGAACTCAGATGTCCACTCCCAGCAAGTCACATTGAAAACAGAAGAAGGCTGTTGGGAATGAATCTGTGTTGTCTGCATCTCCAACTGATGTGCAAATGGTTCTTGTAGTCTGCAATCTTTCTGGAAATCTGTTCGTAGTCCCACACAGGGGTGGGATTCAGCCGGTTTGGACCAGTTCAGGTGAACCGGATGTTAATTTTAATCTGGTTCGCCAAACTGGTAGTTGCAAGGACTGACTGACCCCGCCCACCCTGCTCCTCCCCTCCCAGGAGTCTCCACGTGGCCTGTTTTGAATGCCAGGTAAGTGCAGGGCCTGCACGGAGGCCCTGGGACGGCGAAAAATGGGCCCACTGGAAGTACCGGAAGTCCGGAAACAGGCTCATTTCTGGCCTTCAGAGCCCAGGGGAGGCTGTTTTCGCCCTCCCAAAGCTCGAGGAAAGCCTCTGGAGCCTGGGGATGGCAAAAACGCCCCCCCCCCTGTGGTGCAGGAAGCCAACTAGGCCACACCCCCGTGGCCACGCCCACCCAGCAACCGGGCAGAGAACCAGTTGCTAAAATTTTTCAATCCCATCCCTATCCCACGCCATTCAAAGGGTATTTATCTCAAAGTGCATAGCTAAAAGTTTATGGAGAAGCGAAATTCGTCTTCAAAGAAAAATCAAGGAAGTCCAGTTCCCTCCTGAAAAAGCACCTTTGGGACAACCATGACCTGGATGACGGAGAATCTGCATAGACTTATTGGCTGCCACCGTGGCCCATGGGTTTCAAGCAGTGGTGTCCACAGGGAATGGTTAAACAAGGCAAGATGGTGGCCACAACAGTGCGATTGAAGCTCCCCCTGCTTTTTCATGAGCATCACATGGGGGCACCATCAGTACCTCCATCTTGGCTTTTTGGACACACTCTGCAGACACTCCTATAGGTATGTTCCTCAGGCGCAAAGGTAGCATTAAGCAATAGATCCTTGTTTCTCTGTGCTGTTCATTTGCTACGGATATCGCCTTCATTTGGTTTTAGATGAGTTTTAAAGGTCATTTAAATTACGGTGTCCAATCTATTATTACGGGAAATAATGAGCTGGCCCTTTTCTAAATTGGCCATTGATAAATGTTGTAAATTTTTGTTGACACTGATTTAAGTTAGACATCGCCGGTTGTTGCTTTTTTATATTTTAAGGCTTGACAGTTTTTGGGTTTAAATATTCTTATTGCTGTCTTCCCAAACTGATCTTTATATATATATATTTCTTTTTCGTAGGCTTTTATGTGCATATTCTTTCTAGCCAGGTTTTACCTACACTTTTTATTTCTAGCTGACAAGCAGCAACTCTGTGTTGCTCTCTGGGAGACTCAGAAATAGCTATCTGAGTCTCCCAGAGAGCAACACAGAGTTGCTGCTTGTCAGCTAGAAATAAAAAGCCCAGAAACTTGTGAATGAGATTTCACAGAACCAGGGCTGTAGAACGTCTTAGCTTACGTAGGTAAAACCTGGCTTTACATGAAGACTGTATATCAGGGGTATCAAACTCAAGGCTCAGATCTGATCCGTGGGATGCTTAAATCTGGCCCGCGAGGCCGGCCTGGAAATATCAAAGGCCCACGGTGCCTCTACCGGCCAAAACGGGCCACGGGAGGGCCGCATGCCTCCCCCCCCCACATGGCCTGTTTTCAGCCACCACGGCCTCCAGCAGCATTCTGTGCGGAGGCCCGGCGAGGTCCCTGTGTGGCCCATTTTTAGCCGGCAGAGTGCTGCAGAGGTACCCGTCCTGTCTCTCCCCCGCTCCCCCACACCCCACTGGGCTGCGGAGGAGAACTACAATGCTGATCCGGCCCTCGAAGAAATCCAGTTTGACACCCCTGTTGTATATTGATATTTTCTAATGATTTCTCTTCCATATGCCTGGATTCATGCTGGAAACTCACTTTGTACCCTTGCAATGTCTACCAGTCATCCTCACTTAACAACTGGTCATTTAGTGACCGTTTGACGTTACAACAGATTCCCCCCAAAGCTACATATGACCTGGTTCCAGAGTTCCGATGGCTTCACACATCCTCATGATCATATGACCGCATTTCTTTTGGGTCAAAAAACAAACAGAGGAATAAATGGATTCGGTTCCTCACTGTGGTATTCACTTAACAACTGTCACAAATAAAAGCAGTATCAGTCGCCTCGGTACACAAACGTCATGATGTACAATGGCAATTCCAGGCTCTATTAATGTTGTAAGATAAGAACTCTCTGTAATGCCTGTTTTTTGGGAAAGAACAATTGCAGCTGCCTCCATTATAATCTCACTCCTGGTGAAGAATTCCTTTCTTTTTAATATCCTGATTTTCTTACGAATTAGTTTCGTTGTGCAACTTCGAGTTTTATCCCTCTCTTCCCCTCCCCTGTTGCACATTCATATTTTCATATGTCTCTGACATATTGATTTAATTCTCACCTCATATCTCTGATTGACTTAAATTTATGTTTTCAATTATCTGGTTCCTGGTGAGCCGAGGACCTTCTGTTTCCAGAGAAAAATAACCAAAGAAACACTGCACACTGTTATATTAACCCAACATCTTCAATTGACTTGGTGCTAAAACCTTTGGCTTCCCAGGCAGAATAGCCAAAAGGAAATGGTTAGAACCACTACATCTGGGCTGCAAAATCCAGATGTCTGCTGGATCTGGTGGCCAAAAGATTTTCTACATCCACTTGCTGCCATCTCGTAGTGATCCAGATATTTGCAGCCAAGATGTGGGAGCTCCAGAGGTTGTGCAGGTAGTCCTCGAGTTATGATCACAATTGAGCCCAAAATTTCTATTGCTAAGTGAGACACTTGTTAAGTGAGCTCTGCCCCATTTTACAACTTTTCTTGCCACAGTTGTTAAGTGAATCTTAAGTTGCTAACTTAGAAACATGGTTGCTAAGAGAATCTGGCTTCCCCATTGACTTTGCTTATCAGAAGGTTGCAAAAGGGGATCACATCAGTGATGGGTCTCAAATTTTTTTACTACCGGTTATTAAAATCTCCATTCCCACCCCACTCCAGGGGAAGAATACTGCAAAATCCCCATTCCCTCCCCACTACTGGGGCCAGCCAGAGGTGGTATTTGCCGGTTCTCCTAACTACTCAAAATTTCCGCTACCGGTTCTCCAGAAACTGTCAGAACTTGCTGGATTTCACCCCTGAGCCAGGGTTCCTGTTTGCTAGCATGTCTTCGGGTGATTTTTGTTCTGCTTGGTACCGAGTTGCCTGAGGTGACTTTTCTGTGCCCACCAGGCCATGCCCACCTAGCGCCCCCTACCTGGCCATACCCACCCAGCCGGCCCAAGTCAGCTGCCGAGAGTCATCCATGCTGAGCCGGCTGCACCTAATCCTTTGCGTCGACCTGGCCACGCCCACTCACCCATGCCCACCTGGCAGAACTCAGATATCCACTCCCAGAAAGTCACATTGAAAACAGATGCAGGCTGGGAGGCAGAGAATAGATGGGGGCGGGGCCAGTCAGAATTTTTACTACCGATTCTCAGAACTACTCAAAATTTCCGCTACCGGTTGTCCAGAACTGGTCAGAACCTGCTGAAACCCACCTCTGGATCACATGATCCCAAGACACTGAAACCATCATAAATATATGGCGGTTGCCAAACATCCAAACTTTGATCACATGACCATGAGGATGCTGCAACAGACGTAAGTGTGAAAAACAGTCATAAATCACTTTTTTCAGTGTCATTGTAACTTTGAATGGTCACTAAACAAATGGTGGTAAACCGAGAACTTCTACCTGTAATCTCAACACAGCTGGACAGCTTCTGTTCAGGAAAGATTGGAATAGTCCATTTAAAAGATTTCAATAAGGCAGAGTAAATAAAGTTCACTCACAAAAAAAGCAATGTCGCCATCTTAGGGGGAAGTTCCCCATTCCTTTTCATAAGAAATAAAAAGGCATAATCTGCCACACATTCACTTTTGTACTGAAAAATTAAAAAAATAATACCATTTTTTTTCCTCAGAAGAAAACTAATGAAGATTTCATCCATTTTAGACATCAATGAAACTCATCTGCTATCATTTAAATTAGTCTGAAAGTCAATACAGGTAGTCAACTTACAACAGTATGTTTAGTGACAGTTCGAAGGAGGGGTGAAATGTAAAATTTGTTACTACCGGTTCTGTGGGCGTGGCTTGGTGGTGGGGGAGTAATGTGATTGGGTGGGCGTGGCCAACTTTTTTTTTTTTTAACTTTTAAAACCATTTTTTCTACAACCTCTTCGGTGAAGAGGTTGTAAAAAAAATGCTTTCAAAAGGCTCTGACGATCCCAGCTGAGTTGCCTGATCGTCAGAGGCTTTTTTTTCCTTTTAAATGCCTCTGACGATCCTGCAACTCAGCTTGGATCGTCAGAGGCTTTTAAAAGAAAAAAAAGTCTCTGATGATCACGCGGCTCAGCTGGGCATGGGGAGGGGGGTGGGCAGGAATTTTTGCTACCGGTTCTCCGAACCACCCTCCTCCATCGCTACCAGATTGGGCGATCCGGTCCGAACCAGGAGCATTTCACCCCTGGGCAAAACTCATTTAACAACTATCTTGCTTAGCAACAGAAATGTTGGGCTGAGTTGTGGTCATAAGTTTTGGACTACCTGAAGATCTACTCTTCATTCCCAGGCCCTTTCTCTGGGAGGTGACCTGCCCGATACCCATCACCCAATCCACCTCCACCAACCTTCCAGGTCCAGTTTCACCATTCCAACATCATCTTCTAGCTCGTTGGTCACCTCACACTCGTAGCGCCCATAATCCTGAAGAGTGACATTCCGGATAATGAGGGAGGCGTCACTGGACCCGTCTTCCTGCAGGGTGGTTCGACCCCGGTAGTTTCCAAAGGCTCGGCGCTCCTTCCCCATGGCTACAAAGACGTCCTCAAAGGACATGGGCTCCACCATCTTGGTCCACTTCAAGCGGATCTCATCGGGGTCATGAGCCGACACATCGTAGTGGAAGCGGCAAGGCAAGATGATGGTGCCCCCACGGTGGGTGACTACTTTCCCAGGTGCTGTCTGAACCACAACAGCCCCGCTGTCGTCCTCTGCAAAGAAGAACAGAGACTTTGAACATAATTTCAAATCTAGTTTAGTTTAGTTTAGTTTAGTTTAGTTTAGTTTAGTTTAGTTTAGTTTAGTTTAGTTTATTTGATTTGTATACTGCCCTACTCCCGAAGGACTCAGGGCGGTGAACAGCCAACAATAAAATACATAAATACACAAAATTTAAAAACCCAATAAAATCAAATTAAATTATTTGGCCCAGACAAATTAAAATACCCCAATAATTTAAAAACAGATTAAAATTTACGTATTTAAAAAGGGGAGAGATCAGGCCAAGCCCGCTTGATGGAATAAAAAGGTCTTCACAGCACGGCGGAAGGAGCGCAGATCCGGGATCCTCCATATCTCGGGGGGAGCTCATTCCAGACGGTAGGTGCCCCACAGAGAAGGCTCTCCCCCTAGGGGCCGCCAGTCGACACTGTTTGGCTGACGGCACCCGGAGGAGTCCCTCTCTATGAGAGCGTACTGGCCGGTGGGAGGCTATTGGTGGTAGTAGGCGGTCCCATAAATACCCGGGCCCTAAGCCATGGAGCGCTTTAAAGGTGGTAACCAAAACCTTGAAGCGCACCCGGAAGACCACCGGGAGCCAGTGCAGCTCACGCAGGAGAGGTGTTACATGGGAGCGCCATGTCGCTCCCATTACCACCCGCGCGGCCGCACTCTGCGCCAGTTGGAGCCTCCGGGTGCTCCTCAAGGGGAGCCCCATGTAGAGAGCATTACAATAGTCCAGGCGGGAGGTGACGAGGGCATGAGTGACCGTGCGTAACGAGTCCCGATCCAGAAAGGGGATATCAGATATATATTGATGGTCGTGCTCATTTGGTTCTATGAGGAAGTTATTTGGTCAATACAGCTTCAGGTTCAAAAGGTTGTTTTATTATTTACAAATATATACATGCATACAATAATGAACAGGGTGTCCTGTTGCATTTTTACCCTAACTGTATGACTCAGATGGTGAGAGGAGAGAGAAGTTCACGTGTTGTCTCGCTGAGAGATAGATGAGAGAGAGAGAAAAAAAAGGAAGATATCCAAGTGGTTTCTAGGTAAGAGTCCAATAAGAGAGTTCATTGGCTGATATAGTCACATGTGATGTCTGTAAAGACTTAACCCCTTCTAGTCTCTGGTGCATCATATGCAGGCAATATCTGACCGGGGAAATAGCAATAGCACTGATTCTTATATACCGCTTCACAGTGCTTTTACAGTCCTCTCTAAGTGGTTTACAGAGTCAGCATATTTGCCCCCAACAATCTCGATCCTTATATCCTGATCCTGATCCTGATCCTGATTCCATGTTGGTTTTAACGTTTGATATTGATTTTAATTGATATATTTTAAATTATGGGCCAAATTTCACTTAATTAGTTTTATTAATTATTTTAACTTTTGCGTACAAATGTTTTTATTTTGGCTGTTCACTGCTCTGAGTCCGAAAGGAGAAGGGCGGTATACAAAGTTAATAAATAAATAAATAAATAAATAAATAAATAAATAAATAAATAAATAAATAATTACCGACCTTGGAAGGATGGAAGGCTGAGTCAACCTTGAGCCGATGAGGATCAAACTACTGGCAGTTGGCACAATTAGCCTTGCAATACTGCATTCTAACCACTGCACCACTACAGCTTTCGTCCCCCTAATCCTTTTCTTAGCAATAGCAATAGCACTTAGACTTACATACCGCTTCACAGTGCTTTTACAGCCCTCTCTAAGCGGTTTACAGAGTCAGCCTATTGCCCCCAACAATCTGGGTCCTCATTTGACCCACCTCGGAAGGATGGAAGGCTGAGTCAACCTTGAGTCTGCTGAGATTCGAACTGCCAAATTACAGGCAGCCGGCAGTCAGCAGAAGTAGCCTGCAGTACTGCACTCTAACCACTGTGCCACCGTGGCTCTCAGAAAGTCTGAGCTCGAGAAGTCAAGTGGTGCAGACGCAGAAGCAGTCCTTGACGTATGGCCACAATTTCTGTTGCTCAATGAGACAAGTTGTTAAGTGAGCTTGGCTTCATTTTACGACCTCTCTTCCCACAGTGGTTAAGGGAATCACTGCCTTTGTTAAGTTAGTAACACAGCTATTAAGGGTATCTGATTTCCTCATTGATTTTGTTTATCAGAAAGCAAAAGGGGATCTTGTGACTCCAGGATGCTGCAACCGTCATAAATACATGACAGTGTAAGTCACTTTTTTTCAGTGCCATTGTAACTTCAAAGTCCAGTGGTGGGATTCAAATTTTTTTACTACCGGTTCTGTGGCCGTGGCTTGGTGGGCATGGCAGGGGAAGGATACTGTAAAATCTCCATTCCCACCCCACTCCAGGGGAAGGTTACTGCAAAATCCCCATTTCCTCCCGATCAGCTGGGACTTGGGAGGCAGAGAATAGATGGGGGCGGGGCCAGTCAGAGGTGGTATTTACCGGTTCTCCGAACTACTCAAAATTTCCACTATCGGTTCTCCAGAACTGGTCAGAACCTGCTGAAACCCACCTCTGCAAAACAGCCATTAAATGAAGGGTTGTAATTCAAGGACTACCTGTATCTGGGATTTGACAGAAAAAACAGCAATGACCAGATTCAGATCAGATTCCCACCCAGATCAGGCCTCAAGAGATGCCAAAGGGGCTTGTCACGTACCAGACACATGTACCACTTTCTTCCGGTCTTTCTGGGCCAACACAGACTTGTGGGAAAGCATCAGGAGATGGAAAAGACAAGACAGCAAGCATCGTCCCAGGACCATCTAGCAGAGAGACAAAAAGAGAGTAAATAGAACACCACAGACAGAAAGAGCAGATGGACATAGGACTGTATGTCCATGCCTATGGAGGGTTATATTCTGTATTATGACCAGTTAAAATTGAAGTATCCAATTGCCTTGGGCTTATTAAAAAAAAATAAAAATCTAAATCAGGTTTATTTTGGTTAGTACTTGAATGAAAGATTACCAGAGCTGTAGGCTAAACAGGGACATTTAAAGAAAAATGTCATAGAAATCAGCAAGCAGCAATTTCAGGAGGGTGAAATCCAGCATGTTCTGAGAGGTTCTGGAGAACCGGTAGCAGAAATTTTGAGTAGTTTGGAGAACTGGTAAATACCATCTCTGGCTGGCCCCAGAGTGAGGTGGGAATGGAGATTTTGTAGTATCCTTCCCCTGGAGTGGGGTGGGAATGGAAATTTTGCAGTATCCTTCCCCTGGAGTGGGGTAGGAATGGAGATTTTGCAATATCCTTCCCCCGGAGTGGGGAGGGAATGGAGATTTTGCAATATCCTTTCCCTGGAGTGGGGTGGGAATGGAGATTTTGCAATATCCTTTCCCTGGAGTGGGGAGGGAATGGAGATTTTGCAATATCCTTCACCCAGAGTGGGTTGGGAATGGAGATTTTGCAATATCCTTTGCCTGGAGTGGGGTGGGAATGGAGATTTTGCAGTATCCTTCTCCTGGAGTGGGGTGGGAATGGGGATTTTGCAGTATCCTTCCCCTGCCACGCTCAGCAAGCCACACCATGCTCACCATGCCACGCCCACAGAACCAGTAGTAAAAAAAGTTGGATTTTACCACTTGAGCCACTTCCTACTGTTGCTAAGAAAATGGCATGGATGTGCACCGCTGAGAATCGGTTCAGGAGTTGGAATAGAGGTTGGTTCCCAAAACCATTATATAGGTATAATCTTGAAATCCACAAGATTATCCATATGACATTTGAGTCATCAGCAGTGCTGTTTTGGTCAACTCCAACCCCCTGTTCAAGTAGGAGACCCTATACCAGTGATGGCTAACCTTTTTTGCCGTCGCATGCCAAAAGTGGGGGGAGCATGGGGGGTCGCAGGTGCATGTGTCCACATCCATAATTCAATGCGCCCCTCCCCCCCGCGCATGCGCACGTGACCCCACACACACTTCCCCCTGCTTTTGGCACACGATGGCACGGTGGGCCCGGTAGGCCCGTTTTCCCCCTCCCAGGCTCCAGAGTCTTTCTAGGAGCCTGGGGAGGGCAAAAACAGCCTTCCCCATCCCCCCGGAGGCCTTCCGAAGGCCGGAAACAGCCAGTTTCCTGACTTCCAGTGGGACCGGAAGGCCTGAAAATCAGTTGGCCAGTACGCGGATGCATGCTGGAAGTGAGCTAGGGTAGCACTCGCGTGCCCACCAATATGGCTCCGCGTGCCACCTGTGGCACCCGTGCCATAGGTTCACCATCACGGCCCTATACCATTTCAAACAAACAGTTGTCCAATCATGTCTTAAAAGCTTCGATTGATGGAGCACCCACAACTTCTGGAGGAAAGCCGTTCCAGTGATTAATTGGTAAAATTCCTTCCCTATTTCAGTTATGTTTTAAAATAAAGAAGTCCATTCCTTAGAATAAAAGAATTGAATGGACTGGCTATTATTGGAATTTTTGTTTTCAAAAATATCAGAATCCATTTTCAAAATGTTTATTAGTTCATCAGAATACAAAATGCAAAAAGAAGAATAACGGAAGGGACCTTGGAGATCTTCTAGTCCATCCCTCTGCTCAGGCAGGAAACCCTACGCCATTTCAGACAAATAGTTGTTCAATCTGTTCCAGTATTAGAGCAACCGCAACTTCTGGAGGCAAGTCGTTCCACTGATTAATTGTTCCAACTCAAGGAAATTTATCCTTAGTTCTAGGTTGCTTCTCTCCTTGATTAATTTCCAATCATTGCTTCTTGTCCTGCCTTCAGGTGCCTTGGAGAATAGGTTGATTCCCTCTTCTTTGTGGCAGCCCCTGAGATATTGGAACACTGCTGTCATGTCACCCCGTAGTCCAGGAGTTTGCAACCTTAAATACTCAAAGAGCCATTTGGACCCGTTTCCCACAGAAAAGAAAACACCGGGAGCCACAAAACCTGGGTGGGCGTGGCCAATTCAATGTCACTCATTTCCACCAGTCACATGACCCTCCCTTAGCCACACCTACCCAGCCAGTCATTAGGGCAGAGAACCAGTTGCTAAAAAACACCGGGAACCACAAAATCCTTTTGACATATCTCTCTCTCCCCTCCCTCCCTCTCTCCCCCCTTTCTCTCTTTATCTCTCTCTGTCTCTCTCTCTCCCCCTCTCTCTGTATCTGTCTCTGCCCTGGCTGCTTCTCCATCCCCCACCATCGCCCTTACCGTCTCAGGCCAGGCAAGGAGTGACTGGGAGGGGAGGGCGAGGGGCGGGGCCAGCCAGTGGTGGGATCACCTGATAGGGAGCCACAGCAGAGAGCCCAAAGAGCCACATGCGGCTCCGGAGCCACAGGTTGCTGACCCCTGCCCTAGTCCTTCTTTACATTAAACTAGACATACCCAATTCCATAGTTGCCCATCTCACATAGTGACTCAGCACAGTTTACACAATAATAATAATAATCAAAATATGTAAAAATGACTAAAACAACCCATTTGAATTTAAAAAGAAAAGCAAGATAAAAACAAATTTTAAAAAAAACAACACAAAATGGTGGCCAAACCCACAGAGTAATGCTCCCTGGAGTCTCTATGCTTTATTCCTAGCGGTAGCTCTCTCAATCTGGGAGAGTTGAGTATTTATTTATTCATTTATTCAGCTTAGCTCAAAGGTGAGCAACTATTAACCTCTTTTACAACCTGTCAACTTCAATTCCCAGAATGCCTGAGCCAGGAATTCTGGGAGTTGAAGTCCACAGGTCATAAAGGAGCCATAGTTGCCCATTCCTGTCGTAAATAGTGTCCTCCAATTCTGGCTAGCTCCAAGCATAAAAACCAAACAACAAAATGCAATCAAGAGAATAAAATATATAGAACGAGCAAGAAGATGGTGAATTGCAGTAGCAACAAAAGACCCATCACCCTGGCCTGGGAGAAGAGCTTTAAGACTCTGTGGAAGAGAATTGTAGAGATGGTAAAATGCTTGGTAGGCAGGGGGCAGCCCTGGCAGTACCAATGAACGCTGAAGACAAGAGATTGACAACATGGCCATCAGTCAATTGTAAAAGGCAGCTTTACTTGGAACAGCTTACTTCCTGCAATGATACTTTTAATTAACATTTTCACTTATCCTGTTAGCATCTCATTACTTCAGGAGCCACTGTGAATCCCAGGTGTCTTTTTGCTGAGTTTACAGCAGGGCCTGTTAAATCTTTGCTTATTAAAAAATATATAATTGAGGTTGACTTTAAATCACCTCCCCCCAATTTCCCCTCCATTAAGCTATAGGATCTGAAGGGTAGTTTTATGCTGCCCTACTTCCATTCTATTAGAGTAGAAATAGAAATAGAATAACAGAATTGGAAGGGACCTTGGAGGTCTTCTAGTCCAACCCCCTGCCCAGGCAGGAAACCCTACACCGCTTCAGACAAATGGTTATCCAACATCATCTTAAAAACTTCCAGTGTTGGAGCATTCACAACTTCTGGAGGCAAGTTGTTCCACTGATTAATTGTTCTAAATGTCAGGAAATTTCTCCTTCGTTCTAGGTTGCTTCTCTCCTTGATTAGTTTCCATCCGTTGCTTCTTGTTCTGCCCTCAGGTACTTTGGGGAATAGATTGACTCCCTCTTCTTTGTGGCAGCCCCTGAGATATTGGAACACTGCTATCATGTCTCCCCTAATCCTTCTTTTCATTAAACTAGACATAACCAGTTCCTGAAACCGTTCTTTCAGTGGTGGGTTGCTCCTGGTTCTCACCGGTTCGCAAGAACCGGTGGTAAAAATTTGTAGTAGTTCGGAGAACCGGTAATAACATTGGCTGGCCACGCCCCCGAACCACTCTGCAACCACTCCGGTTGAAGAGGTTCTAGGAAAAAAAATGCCTTTAAAAGCCTCTGGCGATCCCAGCTGAGTTGCCTGATCGTCAGAGGCTTCTAAAAGCATTTTTTTCTGCAACCTCTTAAGGTTGTAGAAAAAATGCTTTTAAAAGTAAAAAAAAAAGTTGGCCACCCCCCCCCAGTCACACCCCCCCCCCACCAAGCCACGGCCACAAAATAAGCCACCCCCACAGAACGGGTAGTAAAAAATTTTAGAACCCACCCTGGCGTTCTTCATATGTTTTAGCCTCCAGTCCCCTAATCCAGTAATTAAAACCCTCCCTCTCTCAACTCTATAAATGTAGTCCTCAACTTACAACAGTTCATTTAGTGACCGTTCATGTTACAATGGCACTGAAAAAAAGTGACTTATGTCCATTTTTCATACTTACAACCTTTGCAGCATCCCCATAGTGCACAAATCTGTTGGATTCATGTCCAACTAAAGTGGAGCCAACTCACAGTTTGCAACCTACATTCATCAATTGTCTTCACATCTACGTGGTTGATGGATGGGCTGTTGTCAAAATGATCTAGATGAAAACCACAACTGTGCCATCAAAATCCACCTTTTTTTACATGTATCAGCATGTGTAAAAAAAAAGGGGGGGGGTGCTTTGACTGCATTGTCAGGGCTACCAAATTGAAATTTTTCATCAAAACAGTCAAGGTTGTTCAAACCTTAAGGACTAGAAACCTATTTTATTTTATTTATTTGTTGGCGGCAATATGGTGACTGTAAACCGCTTAGAAGGGCACGGTAAAGCACTGTGAAGCGGTATATAAGTTAGTGCTATTGCTATTGCTATTTATCCTTGAGGGACTCTTCCCACACCACCCTATTCCATAAGATCCTATTATATTATATTATATTATATTATATTATATTATATTATATTATATTATATTATATTATATTATATTATATTATATTATTAGATTATCTTATATCTTATATCATATATCATATATCATATCTATTTTATTATATGTTATATTACATTATATTACGTTACAATATATATTAATTTTTTATGCTGCCCATCTTCCCTGTAAAGTTCCTGCAAGACTCGTATCTAACAGTTTCTGCCATCCCACCTAAACTGCTCTGATTTGGGGATGTTCGCTGATTTGCAAGAAGCAGCATTTTTATTTCCTTTTGACTTTTTAGTCCTGAGGTCTGCAGATGGAGAAGCATTAATCACAGGCGTAACCTTTCTTTTGCAACCAACGAGTTAGGCGGCCACGCTATAATTTGGCAGATTATGCATATCGCATATGTATGTACAACCATGCTGAAGTTCTCAAGGTCAAGCTCCAGCTTTGTATCTCATTCAATTTGGAAGTAAAGAATTTTCTCTGCTGAGGCTCTGAAGCATCCTTGCCTATCCAAGCAGAAGACACCGGCTAAAAACCCCAAATAGTTGAGAAGTACAAAGATTCACTTCCTTTGTTTTTTCCAAGATTTAGTTCAGTGGCATGGCACATGCATTAGATTACAGGCTCAAATCTGGGCTATTTCCACTAAAAAAAAAAAAAAGAAGAATCAGCAAGTGATGGGGAAGTCCTCCCGCCCCCACAAAGCCATTGTAAATCAGAATATATATCGTAAGTGCTAGAGAAACGAATGACTTCAACCAGCCTTTTCTCCAGAATCATGAGGACTAGGATCTTGCTTTATTCTAAGGGGTAGAAACACAGCACCATGACTGAATCTCCCTTTCCCCTCAAAGGAAATAGACGATGGAAAAGAGATTTCTCCGCCTGGTACGGTGGACAATAAGTAATGTGGGGCTAAAATGAATAGGGCATGAAATGAGCTTCCTCTTTACAAGTCAGACAACAGGGAGTTAAAAAAACAAACCCCAAGCACTTCCTTTCTCAAAGAAGAGATTTGCAAAGTTCTCCAGCTCTCTGGAGATTATGGATATCATCTCTCCTCCCCTCCAAAGCCCCCCCCTCAAACAACTGAAAGATAAATGCTCTATCTTTGCCCCCACCCACCCACCCACCCCCGTTCCTCCCACCGCATTTTCACAGATTTAACATCTAACCTCAGGGCTGCTGCAGAATTGGGAACTTAGAGGAACGTTGAAATCAGACTCGCTGTCCCATATTCCCCCCCCTCCCCGACTTAACATTTCATGCAGAGAATTCAAAATCAATCAAAATCCTTGATAGAACATTTCCCAAGCAGAAAATGCCCCCCCCACTTTTTCGGTAAACCCACTGCAACCGAGAGTTGCAAGTGGGTTGCCAGCTGTTTCCCTCCTATTCTGCTTAGCCCAGCAAGAAAAGTGGTACCCAAGTTAAGGTGCCAAAGGATGCTCTCGAGACATCCGACTTATTACATCAACTCCGGATCAGCCAACGCTGCATTATCAAGGTGAAACCAAAAACTGTAACTCTGCCTTGCACCAAAGAAGACTCACCGTTTCTCCTTGAGGTGGTAGGGGGAACAGGAGATGTCCCGGGCCAAAAATCTCAGCCGGTGACTGAAGTTGAGATGACTGCAGAAGAGGCAATGCTGAAGAAACAGGGCAGAAGTGGAGGAGAGAAGAGAACAGAAGAGAAATCTGTCGGTCTTAGTTTGCTTGGGGAGGGTTTGAAGTCTCCTTTTTCTTCTTTCTTTCTTTTTCTTCCTTCTTTTCTTTCTTCCTTCCTTTCTTTATTTCTCTCTTCTTCTTCTTCTTTTCTTTCTTTCTTTTTTAATTTAGCAGCATGATGCTGACGGCTTCTTTTCAGAGTCTTAGTCAGCAAACTCCAAGAAGTAGGGAGGGAGGGAGGGAGGGAGAGAGAGAGAGAGAGAAAGAAAAAGGAAAGGGGGAGAGAGCGAGAGAGAGCATTGCTGCCTGGGAATGAAAAAAAAAATGAACACAAAGTTGTACGAAAATGACCGAGGAGCAATAACTGCATTAGAGCAGCCTGCACAGACCAGCAGAAGGGAGGGTTTGGCAGCAAAAATGTGGGGAGGGTGAAAAGAAAAGGGATGCGAGAAGGAGAACCTGCAAATCCTTTGGCTGAGTTCCTGGACAGCAGTAAAGTAGGTCGGAAGCGAGGCAAAGCCAGGCCCAAAATCCTGGATTTCAATTTTGGAGTTCGGAGCCTCATCATTACAGAAACTGGCATTCGATGTTCTACACAAGGTGGCTGAGTGGGAAAAGCCAGGCGAATTTCGCCTTTTCCAGCCACGTTACAGGCAGTCCTCAACTTACAACCACCATTAAGCCCAATGTTTCTGTTGCTAAGTGTGACAGTTGTTAAGGGAATTATGCCACCATTTTACCACCTTTCTTGCCACGGTTGTTAAGTGAGTCGCACGATGCCATTGTTAATAAGACAGTTGTTAGATTAAACTGGCTTCCCCATTGACTTTGCTTGTCAGAAGGTCGCTAAATGTGACCCCGGGACACTGCGACTGTCATAAATATGAGTCAGTTGCCAAGCATCTGAATTTTGATCACGTGACTATGGGGATGCTTGCAAGGGTTGTAAGTATGAAAAACGGTCATAAGTCACTTTTTTTCCAGTGCCATTATAACTTTGAACAATTACTAAACGAATGGTTGCTAAAATCAAGAACTGCCTGTAGAGATAGACCTCAGTTTATGACCATTCGTTTAATCACCGTTTGAAGTTACGATGGTGCTGAAAAAATGTGACTGACAACTGGTCTTCACACTTGTGACTTCTGCAGCATTCCTGAGGTCGCAACGAACAAAATTTGGGCACATGGCAACCTGCATGTATTTACAAGGGGTTGCAGCGATCAGTGATTGGTGACCTTCCCAGCCAGCTTCCAACGAAATTGATGGGGGAAAGCCTGATTTTGCTTAACAACCTTGTGATTCATTTAACGACTGTGGTGATTTGCTTAATGGCTATGGCAAAAAATGGTAGTCAGATCAGGCACAACTTAAAGACTGCCTCACTTAGCAAGGTCCGAATTGTGGTCGTAAGTCGAGGATTATCTGTATTAATAAGAAGAGCCCCCATATGTTCTAGGCCAGGGGTCTCTAACCTTGGCAACTTTAAGACTTCTGGACTTCAACTTCCAGAATTCCTCAGCCAGCTTTGCTGGCTGAGGAATTCTGGGAGTTGAAGTCCACAAATCTTAAAGTTGTCAAGGTTGGAGACCCCTGTTCTGGGCAAAGCTGCTGGATGGGAGAATGCAGGATTGCAGCTTATGCTTGGTGTGAGTGTGACCAAATAGGGGTGCGCAAAAGAGGGCCCTGCCCTCTCCTTTTTCTTTGATTACACAATGGACATCCACTTCCAACACGCACGTTTCTGGTGACCCCCGTGTGACAGCAGCACAATTGGGGGTGAGGTTCTATCAACGGAAAATGCAAAATACAGGTAGTCCTCAACTTATGACCGCCATCGAGTGAGTGTTAAGTGAGACATTTAAGTGAGCTTTGCCCCATTTTATGACTTTTCTGGCCACCGTTGTTAAGTGAATCACTGCAGTTTGTAAGTTAATAGCCTAGTTGTTAAGTGAATCTGGCTTCTCTGTTGACTTTGCTTGTCGCAAAATGGGATCACGTGACCCTGGGACAGTGCAACCGTTGTAAATATGAGCCAGTGGCCAAGCGTCTGAATTTTGGTCACATGACGATGGGGTTGTAACTATGAAAGGTTGTTAACTATGAAAAATGGACGTAAGTCACTTTTTTCAGTGCAGTTGTAACTTTGAATGGTCACTAAACGAACTTGTAAATCAAGGACTACCTGTAGGGCTGGTGGGGGTGGGGGTGAATTAATGCAGCACATTAGGCCTTGTTTTATTGAATGATGGTTTGTTGATAAGTAACCAACTCTGATTTTATGTATCAGGCTCAGTCATACATTGGTTTGAAATCCATAGTTGCTGCATACTGTGCCTTGCAGATCTTAACTAACTGTGACCTATTTCCTATGCCAGGAATGTCAGTGGTGAAGGATGCTGGGAAGTATAGTCCCAATTATGATGCATATAAAAAATAATAGTAATAATAATTTATTAAATTTGTACAGTATGCAGTCTGGCTCCCTGACACCCAGCAACTTCAAAAATGGGCAGGGCTTAGATGACCACCATTTTGATTTTTCTGAGCCACTCCAGTGGTGAAATCCAAATTTTTTTACTACCGGTTCTGTGGACGTGGCTTGGTGGGCATGGCAGGGGAAGGATATTGCAAAATCTCCATTCCCTCCTCACTCCTGGGGGAAGGATATTGCAAAATCTTCATTCCCACCTCACTCTAGGGCCAGCCAGAGGTGGTATTTGCCGATTCTCTGAACGACTCATAATTTCCGCTACCAGTTCTCCAGAACCTGTCAGAACCTGCTGGATTTCAGTCAGCACTCTGACCATAGACCATGGTTTACAAAGCAAACTAACTGGGTTCACATAAGCACACTAAACTACACATTAGCAAGTTTTCCTTGCACGTAACGTTAAACCAACATCGGTCTCCCAACAGCCTTTCTATCATGGTCATTTAGCAATAAGAACGGCCAACTTTTCAGGCAGAAAAAGTCATCGGTCTTGTGATGAACCAGGTTATAATCCTCACGTTGTATGACTGTAACAGGAAGGCTCCATTACAGCTGTAAGTCAAGGACCACCTGTACCTTTTCAAACACGTCGGCTGCATCATGGAAAGCAAAATTTTCAGATGAGGTTGATCTTTGGGCTCTGCAGAGATCTAATATTATTGTTCTAGGAGCAAAAGAACAAAAGAGCTGTGGTGGTGCAGCAGTTAGAATGTGGTATTGCAGGCTAATTCTGCTGGCTGCCAACAGTTCGATTCTGACCAGCTCAAGGTTGACTCCATCCTTCCATGGTCGGTAAAATGATGATCCAGATTGTTGGGGGCAAGATGCTGACTCTGTAAAACCGCTTAGAGAGGGTTGTAAAGCATTGTGAAGAGGTATATAAGTCTAAGTGCTATTGCTATTGCTAAAAAGATACCTCCATGTGTAAGGGCAGTTACCCAAATATATGGGATGCAACAAAAGGAGAGGATTGTTGGCTTTCTGCCCAGCTTGGATGCTTCCCAGAACAGGTGCTTGGTTGGCCACTAGTAGAAACAGGACACTTACTAGATGGTGAATTTGAACTTGCACTGCATTATTAATCCTGTCTTTTGTGGCCCGTCAGCGGCCTATGCAGCTAGTAGCTGATTCCGACAGTGAGGAGGCTGGTGTGGTGATGCACCAGCAGCCTGTGCAGCTGGCACTCGAGTCAGACAATGAGGAGGCTGGAGAAGATGTGGTGCCAGAGGCAGGGATTCAGCCAGGGCCTTCAGAACCTCCATAAGCTCCCATAAGTGAAGAAGAGGAGGAGCCTCTTCTCGATGCACGGGCGCGCAGAACTGCCAAAAGGCAGGAGTGGCTCCTCAGGAGGAGGTCTCCTCGAGAGTAAGGCTTGGGGCTAACTGGCCACTCCCTTAGCCTATTTAAGGAAGGACGACAACTGAAGCAATTTGCAGGGAACAACTTCGTTCACTCTTCTTCGCGTCTGGATCTTAGTTCTCTTATCAGTTTCCTGCAAATTGCTTCTGGGCTTTCTGCCAATCCTAGTAAGATTACGATTATTTATTCTTTGGATTCTTGTAGGCTGTTAAGAAAGTTAATTAACAGCCTTTGTTTGAAAAAGACTGATTTAATTTAGTAAACTAAGGTTTGTACAGACTTTGTGTGTGCTGCGTTCTTTGGGGCAGAACACTGTCACTGGAGCCGACAACATACACTGCTCTGTATTTGATAGCTTTGGTGAAAGTAAAAGCCAATTAAAATTTTACATTCTTTTAACCTGCCTTCATTATTATTATTTTTTTAAAACAACTCAAACCCCAGTGGTTACATTCCCACAATGCACTAAGCCAAATCAACCAAACTTCCCAAGGTGATCTTGTGGACACAGCCAGTATGAACCTAGATAACATCAATCAGTTTGGCCAAGCACAGACAAACGACACAAGAGCCAAGCTCTTTAAAAGTCATATATTAATCTGGGGTTTTGTTCCCCTCACATTATAATTCTGTAAACAGTGACTTCATGGCGATGTCCCAGGTCCCCGTTTCTGCGTTATGAACAGGTTCCTTTTGTTCACCAATCCTCCTTTTCCTGGTGAAAAATAGGAAAACGTATAACAAGATAGCCAGCTTCTTCAAATCGCATCCTCGAAGGCTTTCAAATCTCTCTTGTTCTTCTTCTGTATTCTCACATGATCTCCCAGGAACTTTCCCACCCCAAAATCTCAAGTGTAGTTTTTAAAGACCTAAAACCATCTGGCTTTTGGGTTAACTTTGTTCGCCACATCAAAAGGATCTGCTATAGATCAATGAACGTTTTTGATTTCACTGTTTCAAATCAGCTTCAAGTGCATCATACAGACGAGGCAAAGGTCGGCTGTGGCTATACAAGGAATGGTTTAGACCACCTATCCCCCCCAAGTTATTTAAAACACTGTCAGAACTGGGGTTCTCCCAGGGAAGCACCTGTGTGTAACACCATTGGATTTGTGAGCAACAGCGAGCACAAGATTTCCTCTTTTTTTTTTCTTCACTGGTTCTTCTTGTCTTTGGACTGGGAAACGGGGCTACAGAAAAAGGCAGGTCTGTAGAGACAGCGGTAAGCTAAGAGCTGTGGGCCTACCGCATAGGCTACGTTGCATAGGACCACAAACCACCAATCTCTTTCTGGGATGCGGTATGGAAAAGGAGTGCGATGGTGAATGGAGGCAGCTACGTGGGAAAACTGAGCCTGAAAAAATGGAAGAGACAGAAAGCATTTTGAGCAAGGGGGGTTGGACTAGAAGACTTCCAAGATCCCTTCCAACTCTGATTTTATTCTGATTTTAAGTCCCCCGATAAGCGGAAAATATACATTTAGGAATTGTATGGTCTGGTTTGGGGTTTTTTTTTTTTGTAAAAGGAAATAAAGTACGTAAAATATTTTGTATAGTGTTCTAATTTTGCATATGCATTTGTGCCTTTTTCTCTTTCATTCATGTTTGGCACAGATAGGCAACAAAATACAGCTTTTTGGTATGTTGCAACACAATGATGTTTAGACGCACAAACGTGCCTTAATAAAGCCTCTTCTGAAAAGAATCACAACATCCTTTTATGTATAGCAGTGTTTCACAATCTCAGCAACCTTAAATTGTCTGGACTTCAATTCACAGAATTCTGGGAGTTGAAGTCCACATTTCTTAAGGTTTCAGAGGTTAAGAAACACTGGTGCAGACTCACATCAGAAATTATTCTCTTTATTTCGGGCAGTCTCATTCAGGCAGGTGTGCCAATTGGCAAACACTTCAATAATTCCAGGAATAATTTTGGAAATTCTGCTGGCTAAACTGAAGGTACAGGAGTGGAACAGAGCACAAATGCAGTAGGGGACGAGAAAGAAATGCCACAGGAGGAAGTGATGCATTTTTCTACATCTTCTCAGTGCCGTACTCAAAATTATTGACCCGAAAAGTACCTCTGCGGTCATCTAACCAACCCCCATGGAAAAGTATATTTCAGCAGTTGGCAAAAACTAAAAACAAAGAGGTTACTGAGATTTCAACAGTCTCAGCCTTTGAATCTTGCCTGAAACACTGAGATTTTGTGAAATCTAATTGCAATGTTGCCAGAATCTCTCCAAAGTTTATTGCCTTCCCGAAGTCTCACAAAATGCAGGTAGTTTTCAACTTACAGTAGTGGCCAAAATTGTGGAAACCTTTTGGGAAAAGTTCTAAAACTAGCTAATAACACCACTTTTTTTTGGAGTAGTACCATAAAATTATATATCAATGGAAAGATAATTTAATCAAGAAATGTAATTCAATTAATTTTTATGAAGGATTTGCTATTAGAATAGCAGTTACAGTATAAAGAAGAAAAGTGAAACACAGAAAAACGAGATATATAAAAATTATCACCATAGAAAAAATGAGATATGCAAAAATTATCACGTTAGTTAATACTTAGTTGGGTAACTTGTAGCATGAATTACGGCCTTACGACGTCTTCCCATGGTGAACCAGGTCTTTTACTTCTGCAACTGTTATAATGTGAAACCAAGATTGAATGATTGCTTCTATTACCTGGGTTTTATTGCTGAGTCGCTTCTGACTAACAAGTTTCTTTAGTTGGCTTCATAGATTTTCAATTGGGTTAAGGTCTGGGCTATTCCCAGGCCATTCCAGCAGTGGAATAGGATTATCTTGAAACTCCCCCCCAAAAAGTGGTGTGATTACGGGACATTGCAACTGTCATTCTTAGCAACAGAAATTCTAGTCCCAATTGTGGTCATAAATTGAGGATTACTTGTAATGATTCTTTTCAATAAAGTTTTGCTATATTTATTTATTTATTTATTTATTTATTTATTTATTTATTTATTTATTTATTTGTTATTTATTTCTATACCGCCTTTCTCCTGTAGGACTCAAGGCGGTTGCTAATTAATTATATGACTTTTGTAAAAATTTAAAGTGTCCATACTGCACTATTCTAACTACTGAGTCATGGTGGTGGTGGTGCAGTGGTTAGAATGCAGTATTGCAAGGCTAACTCTGCCCAATGCCAGGAGTTTGATCCTGACAAGCTCAAGGTTGACTCAACCTTCCATCCTTCCGAGGTTGGTAAAATGAGGACCCAGATTGTTGGGGGCAACATGCTGACTCTGCAAAACTGCTTAGAGAGGGCTGTAAAGCATTGTGAGGCGGTATTTAAGTCTAAGTGCTACTGCTATTGCTAACTCATTGTTCACTGCCAGGAGTTCGATCCTGACCGTCTCAAGGTTGACTCAGCCTTCCATCCTTCTGAGGTCAGTAAAATGAGGACCCAGATTGTTGGGGGCAATAGGCTGACTCTGTAAAACCGCTTAGAGAGGGCTGTAAAGAACTGTGAAGCAAAATAAACAGTAAGTCTAAGTGCAATTGCTATCGCTATCCTTTGGTATTGAAAGTCAAAGAATATGAGAGCTGTGACTGTGAGGATATCTCTTGACCTGGAATTGAGCAGTATCCTGCAGGCTCTGCTACATACCTGTCCAATAGCACCAGCAAAAACCAAGGCCCAGTCTCCCATCCATGTGCATCCAGGAACGAGTAATCCATAGATGCAGATGCAGAAATATGGCAGGACATAAAATAGATACACCAACATCTGGAAACAAAACCCCCCACAGAACATTAGATTCCAGCACAGATCAAGAATAGAAGATCTCTTGAATGACAATGTCTATAGAAATTCTCAGTCATCCAGATCAGGGGTCTCCAACCTTGGCAACTTTAAGCCTGGCGGACTTCAACTCCCAGAATTCCCCAGCCAGCTTTGCTGGGAATTCTGGGAATTCTGGGAGTTGAAGTCCGCCAGGCTTAAAATTGCTAAATTTGGAGACCCCTGATCCAGATCATGGTTGTTTCAAAGTTGCTTTTCCAGAAGGCAACTGGATTTTTTTTTTGTTTTTTCCCCTTGAAACCGTTTTGCTTCTCATCCAGGAAGGCTTCTTTAGTTCTGAGACCTGAAGAAGCTTCTTAGATGAGAAATGTTTTCAAGCAAAAAAACAAACAAACAAGTAAATCCAGTTAACTTTTGGAAAAGCACCTTTGTGATTTGAAATGACAACCCTCTTGCAACGAAATCTGGATTCAGAGGCAACCCCCCATCAATCCAGATGTTATGAACGTGCTATGAAAAATACTGCTCTAACGGGTCCTCTCATTATAATGAAAGGAAGAAGAAGCGGTCAAGAGCTGCAGATTAAAAAATCAGAAGGGCATCAGGTTGGGAGAAGTTGGCAAAGATATTCAGCAAGAAATTCTCCTTTCCCAGACAGTTTGGATGCACCTGAATCTTGGGGTAGGCCACTAGATCTCGCAGGTAAGGTTCTTGCAGGTAAATGTAATCAAAGCAGGAATTAGCTGGGCAGTCCAGAACAACCTGTAATTGCATAGAGACACAAACATACACACACTTGTAAATGTATTTCCTTTGCCCCTCCCAAAATCACGACCGACTCTTAATACTCTATTATATTTTTTCCAAAATGGGATGATTACCACTCTTGGCATCCTATTTCACACTGTATGCATCTTTTGTATGACACTTTGCAGAAGACACTTTGCAAAATGCTTCATTTGGTTTTGCTACTTTTTAATGGGCAGAGATTCAAGCAGGAATGAGTAATGGATCAGAGTACAGACAGTCTTCATTTCCTGACTGCCATTTTCTTCATTTAGTGACCATTTGCAATTATAAAAGTGACGAAAAAAATAACTTTATGACTAATCCTCGCATTTATAACTTTTTTAGGTCTGCAAAGCAAAGAAACATTGAGGTAAAATTGTAAGCTCAGTCGTTGCCGGTCCCGCTTGTGGTTGCTAAACGAGGACTACCTACTTAATAACTGTCTAAAGTTACAAAGGATGCCCCAAAAGTTACTTACTACCTATCCTCAAAGGTACAACTGCTGCACCCCCGTCATGTGATAACATTTCAGGCACTTGGCAACCACCTCTCATTTACGATTGGTTGCAGCATCCTGCAGTCACATGACCATGATTCTAGCGAAAAACTCGCCTTCAGGAGAATGGATTCGCTTAACAATTATGTGATTTACTTACTCACCATAGTGATTCACTTTACAACCATTGTAAAACAGTTGTAAAATTGAGTCAAGTTATGTGGTGATTTGCCTAACAACCGCAACAGCCCTAACCCTAACCCTAACCCTAACCCCTGGTCATGAAGTGAGGACTGAATAGCTGAATTGGACATCTAGTTATGAGGCCAATGCCATACCACCCAGTATACATTTTGTAGAGGCAGTCCTTGACTCACAACTGTTCGTTTAATGGCCGTTCAAAGTGACAATGAAACAGAAAAAAATGATTGATGATCGTATTTCACACTTATGACCACTGCAGCATCACTATAGTCATGTGATCAAAATTCAGACGCTTAGCAACTGATTCATATTTATAATAATTGTAGCATCCCAGTGTCATGTGAACAGCTTTTGAGCCCTTCTGACAAGCAAAATAATGGGGAAGACAGGTTCACTTCACAACTGTGTTAGTAACTTAACAACTGCTGTGATTCACTTAACAGCTGTGGCAAGAAAGGTTGCAAAATGGGGCAAAACTCACTTAACAACTGTCTCACTTAGCAACAGAAAATTTGGGCTCAAGTGGTCGTAAACTGAGGACTAGCTGTATATAATTATGTGGATTGTCCTGTTTACTTCCTTTTGTCAGGTTCTCATCATACACTAAACACAGTAATAATAATGTGAATGTAGGGTTGCTGTGATGTTCATAAGTTCATAATATAAATTTTATTAATAAATAAATAATAATAAATAATAATAAATAATAATAAATAAATAAGTGTGAGGATGAGTTGTAAATTACTTTTATTCTGTGTTGTTGTAACTTCAAATGGTCACTAAATGAATGGTTGTAAGTTGAGGACTACCTTATACAAAACATCTAAGGTTTAAATACTGGTCTAACTGGAAAAAAGTATTCCAGGGCTGTTTTAAGAGCAAGCTGGCCCAACTTAAGGCATCAGGTCTCATTCTATGTGCAGAAAACAGTACCTTCAAAGCAGGGGTGAAATGCTACCGGTTCGCACCAGTTTAGGCAAACCGGTAGCGGCAGCGGCACATGGTTTGGCGAACTGGTAGCGGCGGCAAACAAAGCTCCACCCATCCGCCTGGACGTAACCTGTTTTTGACCCTCTGCGCATACACAGAAAGCTTTGCGCATGCGCAGAGGGTCCAAAATCATACGTGATGCGTATGGAGCGCACACTTCCGAACCGGTAAGGAAGGTAAGTAAATTTCACCCCTGCTTGAAAGGAAAAACAAAGATAGATAGATGGATAGATAGGGGTGACCCTGGGCATCAGCAGGGTTGGCAAGAGCCTCCTGACCATGCAACTCATCAGTCATTTTTCCCCCAGGAGATCGTGACCCCTCCATTAAGGATGCTTACAAAATGCAGATCGGGATTGAAAATGAATCTGCTGATCTCAACATTTTGGACACACTGCAGTCTTGGCAGAATTTATTGCCACAAGAGATCAGTACTTGCAGTCCAGAATTGATGGATTACCTGCTGTTCAATCATGGGTCGAGAAAGTCCCCATTAATTGCATAAACTGGACCAGGTCATCAACCTCATCTGATGCTATAGTAGGAAATAAAAGTCTGTCTAGATCAGTATTTCTGAACCCTGGACACTTTAAGAGACGTGGACTTCAACTCCCAGAATTCCCCAGCCACCATGGCTACCTGGGGAATTCTGGGAGTTGAAGTCCACACTTCTTGAAAGTAGCCAAGGTTCAGAAATACTGATCTAGACAGACAGCTAGACAGACAGAGAGACAGTTATCCTTACCAGTCCTCGGAAGAGTGTGTAGACCACAGCCAAAAGGAGAAATCCTATCAACCCCAAATCCATAGGGCGCTGGAGCAGATTCTTGTTTTGCTCTTCTGCAACCTTTCCCAAAGTAGAAAGAAAAGTAGAAGGTAGGATTAAGGAGTCTTTGCTTTCAAAAAAGGAATTGGGGGCTGGGGTCAGGGGTGAGCTGCTGGGGGTTCGCAGGGGTTCGGGAGAGCCTCTGGCTAAGATTTTGTACAGTTCGGAAAACCCCCAAATCCCACTCCTGGCTGGCCCCACCCACCCCACCCTGCCCCTCCCAGGAGTCCCCACACGGAACATTTTGGATGCAGGTAAGTGCAGGGCGCATGCAGAGGCTCGGGGACGTCGAAAAACGGGCCTACCGGAAGTTCGGGAAACGGGGCCATTTCGAGCCTCCAGAGGGCCGCCGGAGCCTGGGGGGGGCTCTTTTTGCCCTCCCGGAGGCTCGAGGAAAGCCTCTGGAGCCCAGAGAAGGGCAAAAATGTGTTCCCCCCGCTGTGGTGCAGGAGGCCATGCCCACCATGGCCACGCCCACCCAGCAACTGGGCAGAGAACCCTTGTTAAAATTTTTGAAGCCCACCTCTAGTTGGGGTTGATTCAAAACTGGGGCCTGACAAGAGAAGATCATCCGTATCAACTTGTTTTGAAAGTGCAGCAAGATTGTGAGCTGGCAGGAAGTGACAACGCAGCCATACGGTTGCAGCGTTGTGATGTATAACACAGCCTGTGATGTATTGACACCCAACAAGTGACTGACTAGTCCAGTGTTGGCTAACCTTTTTGCCATCGCGTGCCAGGAGCGGGGAGAGCGCGGGAGGGTTGCGCGCGTGTGTTCCCACACCCATAATTCTATGTGCCCCGACCCGCACATGGGCTCGTGACACCACCCCCACCCCCACGCTCCTGGCATGTGATGGCCCGCTGGGCCCGTTTTTCTCTCTCCCCAGGCTCCAGAGCCTTTCTAGGAGTCTGGGGAGGGCAAAAACAGCCTTCCCCACCACCCCGGAGGCTGGAAATGGCCCGTTTGCTAACTTCCGGTAGGACCGGAAGGCCCGAAAATCAGTTGGCCGGCGCATTCATACGCGCCAGAGCTGAGCTCGCATGCCCACCGATATGGCTACGCGTGCCATTTGTGGCATGCGTGCCATCGGTTCGCCATCACAGGACTAGTCCAACGTTTCTCAATCTTGGCAGCTTTATAGTTTGTGGACTTCAACTCCCAGAATTTACTAGCCGTTAACGGAAACGTTAATTTACTAGTCAAACTGATACAGTTGCTCATTTATCCAAGTCAGTGCTTCTCAACCTTGGCAACTTTAAGATGTGTGGACTTCAATTCCCAGAATTCCCCAGCCAGCAGAGCTGGCTGGGGAATTCTGGGAGTTGAAGTCCACACATCTTAAAGTTGTCAAGGTTGAGAATCCTCTAGTTTGATAAATTGTATCAATCTGACATTTACCGTCTACTGTATAATTAAGCAGAAACTGTACCTCTATCCTTCTTCCACCCCACCAAGACTCTTTCCACAAAGACTTTTATACTTCTGCTTAAGAAAAAAATGCTGATCCCTCACTTTTTGTGCTGTTTTGGCTACGTAAGCAAGAATACTGGTCTCTGAGCATTGGAAATAGAAGGAATGAATTAAAAACTGCACTGAATGCTCCTGGAGAGGTAGATAGGAAAAGCCAGGGACAAATCAATGGAAAGAATGATGATTTGGGTTTAATAATAAAAAGCACTATTATACAAGTCAACCCAACACAGTAGCCAGATTAAAAATCCAATACCTTAGAGGTCAGAGATATGTGTATGGTAACAGCCATCTTGAGTTATTAAAGGTGGAGATAAAGGTGGAATAAAAAGCCGGTTTGGTCTAGTGATTAAGCACCAGGCTAGAAACTGGAAAGCTGTGAGTTCTAATTCTGCCCTAGGCATGAAAAGCTGGATGGGTGACTTTGGGCCAATCACCAGGAGACTGTGAGTTCTAGTCCTGCCCTAGGCATGAAAAGCCAGAGGGGTGACTTTGGGCCAATCACCAGGAGGCTGTGAGTTCTAGGCCAATCATCAGGAGACTGTGAGCTCTAGTCCCGCTAGGCATGAAAAGCGGATGGGTGACTTTGGGCCAATCACCAGGAGACTGTAAGTTCTAGGCCAATCATCAGGAAACTGTGAGCTCTAGTCCCGCCCTAGCCATGAAAAGCAGATGGGTGACTTTGGGCCAATCACCAGGAGACTGTGAGTTCTAGGCCAATCATCAGGAGACTGTGAGCTCTAGTCCCGCCCTAGGCATGAAAAGCCAGATGGGTGACTTTGGGCCAATCACCAGGAGACTGTTAGTTCTAGGCCAATCATCAGGAGACTGTGAGCTCTAGTCCCGCCCTAGGCATGAAAAGCCGGATGGGTGACTTTGGGCCAATCATCAGGAGACTGTGAGCTCTAGTCCCGCCCTAGGCATGAAAAGCCGGATGGGTTGACTTTGGGCCAATCACCAGGAGATTGTGACTTCTGAACCCGCCTTAGGCATGAAAGCCAGCTGGGGGACCTTGGGCCAGTCACTCTCTCTCAGCCCTAGGAATGAGGCAATAACAAACCACTTCCCAAAACCTTGCCAAGAAAACTTGGGGAGTCCCCAAGGAGTCAACACTGACTCAAAGACACCCCCCAGAAAACCACTTTAAAAAGGAAATTTAACCTATTGTATAAAAACCACCACAGTATACAGGGAGTGATAGCTATAGAACTATAGGCACGGTAGTTCTCAACTTACAACCACAATTTCTGTTGCTAAGCAAGATGGTTGTTAAGAGACTTGTTTTTAAGACCTTTTTTTGCCATGGTTGCTGAGCAAATTACTGCAGTCGCTAAATAAATCATGCAGTTGTTAAGCGAATCAGGCTTCCCACATTGACTGGGCTTGTCGGAAGCCAGCTGGGAAGGTCACAATGGTAGTGCTGCAATGCTACAACAGCCTAAATACATACAGGCAGTCCTCGGTTTAAAACAATTCATTTAGTAGCTGTTCAAAGATACAACGGCACTGAAAAAAGTGACTTATAATCATTTTTCACACTTATGACCATTACAGCCTCCCCATGGCCACGTGATTTACATCTGGATCAGGGGTAGGTTGCCCCCGGTTCGGGCCGGTTTGCAAGAACCGGTAGTAAAACCGGTGGGAGGCTCCGCCCACCGACCCCGATGTCATCAGGAAGCGAACACACGCATGCAGTCCCATTGCAAACCGATAGTAAAGGTAAGTAGAACCCACCCCTGATCTGGATGCTTCACAACTGACTCCTATTTATGACGGTGGCCGTGACCCAGGGTCATGTGATCATCTTTTGCAGCCTTCTGACAAGCAAAAATAATGGGGAAGCCAGATTCACTTAATATCCATGTTACTAATTTAACAACTTCAGTGATTCACTTAACAAATGGGGCAACAAAAGTTGTCAAGTGAGGGAAAACTCACTTAAGAACATAACATTTGGGCTCAATTGTGGTCGTAAATTGAGGATTACTTGTACTGATTGCCAAGTGCCCAAATTCTGATCACATTTCTGTGGGGATACTGCGATGATGTGCAAGGACAAGTTGTCACTTTTTTCAGTGTCACTGTAACTTCCAACGGTCACTAAACAAATAGTTGTAAGTCAAGGCTACCTTTATACATATATTTTTCCTACCTGATCAGCTGTTGGCAGAGGGCAGGTTCTGGGCTGGTCAAAGAGCCTTTTGGCTGCCCAGATGGGTATGATGAGATAAGGAAGGTTGAGTAGAAAGGCTGGTTTGATCTCAGAGCTGTACTTCCCTATAAGTAGTAAACATCAGGATTTATTGATTTTTGAAATATTTTTAGAGAAAAGTTTAGAGCTTTAAAATGGTGGTTTAAAAAGGTTTTTTCCCTTGAAGCAGAGGTGAAATCCAGCAGGTTCTGACAGGTTCTGGAGAACCGGTAGCAAAAATTTTGAGTAGTTTAGAGAACTGGTAAATATCACCTCTGGCTGGTCCCACCCCCATCTATTCTCTGCCTCCCGAGTCCCAGCTAATTGGGAGGAAATAGGGATTTTGCAGTAACTTTCCCCTGGAGTGGGGTGGGAATGGAGATTTTGCAGTATCCTTCCCCTGCCACGCCCACCAAGCCATGACCACCAAGCCACACCCACCAAGCCACGCCCACAGAACTGGTAGTAAAAAAATTGGATTTCACCACTGCCTTGAAGGTTAAAGAACTTGAAAGAGTATAGTAAATTTTGTTAATATAAATGATAAGTACAAACAGAAATATATATTATTGTCCATAGAAAGAAAAAAAGTAGAGATGTTAAATTGATTGCTTTTTTTAAAGAAAAGCACATATCTAATTTTGTTTTCTTTTGGAAACCACTTCTGGATTTTCAGGTTGTGATGGAAAAATGAAACTTTGACTTTGATTTTGCTGATTAAATAGGTTCATTGTTATAGAACTGACTAGTACATATTATTGTGTAAAAGTAAAAAGTTGAGACTGTAAAGTTATTATCTTCTATTGTGATAAAAAGAATCAAAAGTCAATGTCCTTTTTTTCTTTTTTCCTCTCTACTCCTTTTCTCCTCTCCTAATTTCCCATTATTTTCATTTTCATTTCATTTTCATTTCCTGACTCAATAGTAGTAACTGCAACACCAGTTACAGTAGTAACTGTAACTCCTAGTGGACAATCACTTAAATATGAGCCAGTAATGTGCTGCAGGTGCCAAAAAAGCCCATACAATCCTCGGCTGCATTAACAGAGGGACAGAATCAGGATCATGTGAAGTGTTACTGTAGTACTGCTTTATAAAGCCTTGATAAGACCATACATGGCATATTGCATCCAGTTTTGGTAGCCACGATGTAAAAAAAGATGTTGAGACTCTAGAAAGAGTGCAGAGAAGAGCAACAAAGATGATTAGGGGACTGGAGGCTAAAACATATGAAGAACGGTTGCAGGAACTGGGTAGGTCTAGTTTAATGAAAAGAAGGACCTGGGGGGACATGATAGCAGTCTTCCAATATCTCAGGGGCTGCCACAAAGAAGAGGGAGTCAAGCTATTATCCAAAGCACCTGAAGGCAGGACAAGGGGCCTGCATAAGTGTCCCAACATGCCTACCGTCCCTGTCCTACTGTCCCCAATTATTTGTATCCATTTCCTGTATTCATAATCATGTTTATACTTATATCTGTTATGTTATACATGCTTGACAAATTAAATAAATAAATATATTCAACATACACACACAAAAAGAAGACGCAATGGAGGGAAACTAATCAAGGAGAGAAGCAATCTAGAACTAAGGAGGAATTTCCTGATAGTTAGAACAATTAATCAGTAGAAACAACTTCCCTCCAGAAGTTGTGAATGCTCCAACATTGGAAGTTTTTAAGAAGAGATTGGACAACCATTTGTCTGAAATGGTATACAGTTTCCTGCCTGAGCAGGGGTTTGGACTAGAACTAGAAGACCTCCAAGGTCCCTTCCAACTCTGTTATTCTATTATTTGTATTTTGCATTCTGATAAATTAATAAAATTTTTGAAAATGGATTCTGCTATTTTTGAAAACAAAAATTCCAATAATAGCCTATTCCTATCACTCTATTCTTTTAGCACCTTCCCAAAACCTTATATTCTAAGGAGCAGACTTCTTCCTTATTTTAAATCATAACTGAATTGGGGAAGGGATTTTGCCAAGTCCAGGAAAAAAAAAAAAACAGAACTCACCAATCACATTTCCCAGCAGAAAAACCACAAGTGCCATGGTGAAGGATCCTGTCCAATAGAGGCCGACGTTCCGGTAACTCTTTCTAGAAAGCAGAATGTTCTGGTAACTTACTAACTTAACAAGTGCAGTGGTTCATTTTAACGACAGTGGCAAGAAGGGTCATAAAATGGGGCAGACCTCACTTAAGGACCCAGATTGTTGAGGGCAATACACTGACTCTGTAAACCACTCAGAGCCATGATGGCGAACCTATGGCATGCGTGCCACCTGTGGCACGTGGAGCCATATCTGTGGGCACACAAGCGTTGCCTTAGCTCAGCTCCAGCGCGCATGTGCACACTGGCCAGCTAATTTTCAGGCCTTCCGGGCCCACCGGAAGTCAGGAAACAGGCTGTTTCCGGCCTCTGGAGGGTCTCCAGGGAGGTGGGGAAGGCCGTTTTTTGCCCTCCCCAGGCTCCTAGAAAGCCTCTGGAGCCTGGGGAGGGTGAAAAATGGGCCTACCAGGCCCACCGTGTTATTGTGTGCCAAAAGCGGGGGAGCGCGGCGGGGGTCATGCGGGGATGCGTGGGGGCATGGAATTATGGGTGTGGGCAGCGCGCACGTGACCCCCCTCCACATTCCCCCCGCTTTTGGCACGCGATGGCAAAAAGGTTAGCCATCACTGGCTTAGAAAGTAAAGCACTGTGAAGCGGTTTATAAGTCTAAATGCTATAATGCTATTGCTATTAACAACTGTCTCACTTAGCAGCAGAAATTTTGGGCTCAATTGTGGTCGTAAGCCAAGGACTATCTATACCTCCCCACCCTTTTGTACTTCAGTGGGCATAGGAGGTGTCTGCCTGAGACCCCTCACAACATGTCTTAAAATATGTTTCATCCCCCTTTGCCCAGGTTTTAGTTCTTGCATGTTTTCCTCAAGGTCACCTCCCTTTCTCTCCATAGTTATCATACCCTATAAAAACACGGTAGAGTCCCAAGAGTTTTTGTGGTTACTTTTGACCTGGTCTATCTCAAAAGGCTGAGACTCGGCCTCACCTTTGAACAATGGCTGCAATCATGAAGAGATACATGGCAAAGTTCACTGCAGCATGCCAGTAGGAGATCATAATGCCATGTGCTGTGCCCAGATAAGGCTCACCCTGCAACCCAGAGGAGAAAACAAGGAACATCATCAGAAAAAACAATCATCTTGAGCTTGCTCCTCTCTCAGATGCCTTCAGAACAAGTCAACCAGCATCAAAACAAAACTGAGCTAAATTTTGAAAGAAAGCTCCTGATAGGACAAGCTTCCTTGAGAGTCTCCACTGAACTGAGCTTAACTTTTGACGACTTTATGGATGCATCCATATCATCTGACACTGTTTTTTTCTGGGATTTAAAAAAAAAATCCCAGTCTGGGATTTCCAGGTGATTCCCCATCCAAAGACTAACTGGCTTTAGCCCTGCTTAGCTTTTTGAGATCAGCTAGTTCAGGGGTCTCCAACCTTGTCAACTTTAGGACTTGTGGACTTCAACTCTTTGCTGGCTGAGGAATTCTGGGAGTTGAAGTCCACAAGTCTTAAAGTTGACAAGGTTGGAGACCCTTGAGCTAGTTGGTGCCAGGTAGAAGGGCAAAGCTGTTGTGATCCGCCAGCATCCTGTGGAGCTGGCAGCGGAATCTGACAGCAATGAGGCTGAGGAAGAACATGGACCAGTCCTGGAGGCTGGGGAAGGCCCGGATGAGGGCTCTGCGTCGGAGGCAAAGATAGGCCAGGGCCATCGGGGAATGATGTGCGGACTTTGGAGCCTCCAGAGGCTGACAGCAGAGAGACAGAGGAACAGGAGGAGCCTGTTCCTAGTGCACGTATGAGAAGAGCTGCCAGAAGGCAGGAGCAGATAAAGCAGAGAGGACCACTCAGGAGTAAGGCCAAGAGATGATTGGCCCCTCCCATAAGGCTTAAAAGACCAGCAACAGCTCTTGGCCTCTTTGCCAGAAAACAAAGTTGAGAGAATTGCTTCTTGTTTCACTGTATTCATTTCTTGTCGGCGCTTTGTGCTTCTGCCAAGAAAAGCTTTGGCAGTTTGCCTAATTATCCCAAGGTCGGTGATAAACTGAGGAATGGTGTTTTAAAGAATTTGCTTTAATTTAGTTTGGACTACGCTGAGAATGAGTTAATTCTCAGCTGTTTGTTTTCGAACTGTTTGTATTTAATACTAACTACTTGGGCCAGGGTCACAACAAACAAGTAACTACTTTAACAAGTAGTTAAAACTAACTACTTGGGCCAGGCTCACACCGGGCCTGGTGGCTCAGCAGACTGATAGCATTGTGATTAACGCCAGCTGTCTGCAATTACTGTAAGTTCAAATCTCAACAGGGTCAAGGTTGACTCAGCCTTCCATCCTTTCTAAGGTAGGTAAATTGAGGACCCAGTTTGTGGGGGCAATAAGCTGACTTTGTATAAATATACAAAAGTATGAAGGCTATTGCTTAACGCATTGTAAGCCGCCCTGAGTCTCCAGAGAAGGGCGGCATATAAATCAAATTAAAAATAAAAAAATAAAAAATAAAAGCAGCTGAACTGCACCACTTTGAATGGCATCCAGAACTAGCCAGTTAGCAGTCAAGGAGCACAAGGGGTCAGCTTAGGATAAGGATATAGATTGCTCTCAATGAGGCTGGGTTTCTTGTCCTTTGGCAACAGTGCAGAACCGATCTCAAAAAGTTAACGAGTCAGGAACTAAAGGGGAAAGAGATCCTTAGGAAATTCTAGAACGGTGCCGAAGATTGGAGGATTTAATAAAATATCTGAAAGAAGGCATGGTGGCTGAAATTCAGTCGATTTTTTTGATCATGTTGCCGATCTGGGGAAGATCAAGGGACCTAATTTTCCTACCTCCCCTCCCTATCGATCCTGAGACTGCATCTCCCAAAGGACCAATTATCCCCTAAAAGTGATCGAAAAAACTCAAATAGGCAATGCACAATCAAAGCTTGCCTCTTTTTTTTTTATACAGACATCATTGCTTCTCAAGGCAGGCCGCAGACACAGCATTTAATGGTGGGTTTCCCCTACTTCCAAGAGCACAGGCTGGGTCCCTGCAGACCAACCTCTCTGATGTAGAAATCCGCAAAGCTGCTGGTGTAGCCGTCTTTCTCCAAAGCGATCACAGCATCCGTTCCAGCAATGAAGCAAAGGACCATGAACACTGGCGGGAACAGAAACAGTTCCCAGTTAAGTGGGTATGCTCGCATGTGTGTTTTCACAGGCTTTGAACTCATGAGGCAAGACTAATATTTCTTAAACAAATTCATTAATTGGATATTTTATAGTCATCCGCTCCTCTAACTCTATAAGCTTACGGCAGTGAACCTCAACCTTTTGGGCACCAGGGAATCAGTTCCATGGTTTTTCCGTGGACTGGAGGGGGCGTGGTTTCATGTGCTGCCTTGCATCCCATGGATGGGGCTTCGCTTGTTTGCACGGCCTGGTTTCTGGCATGCCACAGCCCGGTGCGGTCCACAGACCAGGGATTGGCGACCCGGGCCTTAGGGGAACTAGCAATTCTTTTAATCCACTGAAAACGATCTATAAAAATAGAGTTGTTCATTTAGTCTCCAGATCAGTGTTTCTCAACCTTGTCCATTTTAAGAGGCGTGGACTTCAAGTCCCAGAATTCCCCAGCCAGCTATGCTATGGTGGCTAGGGAATTCTGGGAGTTGAAGTCCACATCTCTTAAAATGGCCACAGTTGAGAAACATTGCTTTAATAGGTGCTGTCCTTATAATTAAAGCAAAAGGATGCAATCAAGAACCAGCCCAAGGAATTCTGGCTGGAGAATTCTGGGAGATGAAGTCCACCCATCTTAAAGTTGTCAAGGTTCAGCAACATTGCTCCAGGCCAGAGCCTCAGATCATATAAGCAGTTTGCCTCAAAATTTCCCACCGGTTCCTAAGCGCCATCTACTGAGAGCAGAGTGAGGTTAGTGGCCAAGATACTATGCCAGAAACCAGGATGTGGTGAGTTCTAGTCCTCCCTTAGAGAGGGGAGCCAGCTGGGTGACTTCGTATGGAATGATCTTTTCCCCCATCATCGAGTTTCTAATAAAAATAATTAGCTCTCTTTTCTTGTTCAACTCTGACCAATATTTCCACAGTGGGTGAATACAGGTAGTCCTTGAGTTATGACTATAACTGAGCTCAACATTTCTGTTTGCTAAGCAAGAAAGTTGTTAAGTGAATTTTTGCCCCATTTTATGACTTTTCTTGCCACAGTTGTTAAGTGAATCACTGCAGTTAATAAGTTAATAATACAGTCGTTAACTGAAATCTGCCTTCCCCAATAACTTTGCTTGTCATAAGATCACAAAAGGGGATCACATGACCCCAGGACACTGCAACGGTTATAAATACAACCAGTGGTGAAATCCAAATTTTTTTACTACCGGTTCTGTGGGCGTGGTTTGGTGGGTGTGGTGGGCATGGCTTGGTGGGTGTGGCAGGGGAAGGATACTGCAAAATCCCCATTCCCTCCCCACTCCTGGGGGAAGGATATTGCAAAATCTCCATTCCCACCCCACTCTGGGGCCAGCCAGAGGTGGCATTTGCCGGTTCTCCGAACTACTCAAAATTTCCACTACTGGTTCTCCAGAACCTGTCAGAACCTTTTGGATTTCACCCCTGAATACAACCCATGTTGCAACGGTCATAAGTGTAAAAAAACAAGCATAAATCACTTTTTCAGTGCCGTTGTAATGGTCACTAAATGAATGGTTTTAAGTCAAGGACTGCCTGTATAGGAATGCAGAAAAAAGCTGTCTCCACAGTTCAGAAATCTCCCTTTTGTTTATCCATCCTGCAATCATCTCCAGATATTTGGCAGATGCATATTTGCTTACCGTAATCGCAATCTGTTCAGCTACCTTCAGGGGCCTTATTTATGCAAAAATCACTGAGCGAAAACTTCCAAATCGATGTGATTTAATGTAAAAAATATTTCACAACCACGCTTTCCTATTGAGTGATCTAATTCAGTGTTTCTCAATCTTGACAGCTTGACGATGTGTGAACTTCAACTCCCAGCATTCCCCAGCTAGCACGGCTTGACTTTGGGGAATTCTGGGAGCTGAAGTCCATACATGGCCAAGCTGCCAAGGTTGAACCAAGGCTGATCCAGTCGAGGTAATCAGGAAGTCAGCAATTAATTTCTATTTGTCCCTCGTGGTCAAAGGATCAACCAAGATGGGTTGGAGACGCGAAGAAAAGTGTCATGCATGACGAACCAGACAGGTAAAATGGAAAATGAACATACCATATAAAAGAGGATCCTCGTAGGAGCGGCTTGGGAGATAAATCAGAACAAACAAAGGCGACAGAATAATAATGCCAAGGACTGCAATCACCAGAGGGCTGTAGGGAGGAAGGAACAAGCACAGAGTTCAAATGCTAAAGTCGTTAATTAAAAAGCCACCACTGGGAACACTATTTGGGGATCTCCAGATTCTCTACAACATTCAGGCATTCAGGAATTTTAAAGTAAATTTAAAGGGCACGGAATTCCCTGGGAATTGGTGCGGTGGCCTAGAGGTGGAGCTCTCCCCTCACAATAAGGTGGCTGTGAGTTCGATCCTAGGTAGGGGCAGATATTTCTCTCTCTGGGCACACTGAGAATATATCTGCTGAATATAACTCCGCATTGGCGACAGGAAGGGCATCCGGCCAGTAAACTCTCAGCTCCATTCAGTTGCCCAGACTCCACCCCGCAAGGGATTATGGGGGTCATTAAAAGATGATGGTGGAATTGCCTGGGATAGAATACAAGCAGAGATGCTGACAGGGAAGAGGGATCAACAAAATCACGATGGCAATCACCAGGATTTCCATTCCCAGCATGGACCCCCTGTTCCCAGGACTTGGCTTACATTTAGAGGTGTCCATGAGGTGAGGAGGAGGTCAACTAAATCAAGATGGAGACCACCCCATGTGCTCAAAGTCATCCAGCTGGCTTTCATGCCTAAAGCAGGACTAGAACTCACTGATCTCTAGCCTGGTGCCTTAAACCACCAGACCAAAATAGCTCTCTTAATATTATTGCTTCTGTGTAATTTTTACTGGGGTGGTTTCAGTGGTGGGATTCACAACCAGTTCATTTCATGCACCCTCCGGAGGCCAGAAATGGGCCTGTTTCCAGACTTCCGGTAGGCCCATCTTTTGCCCTCCCCAGGCTCCAGAGGCTTTCCTGGAGCTTCCAGGAGGGCGAAAATGGCCTCCCCCGCCAGGGGTGGGTTCTACTTACCTTTACTACCGGTTTGCATTGCGCCCGCGTGCCCGCGCTTGCTTCACTCACTCGCACATGTGCAGAAGCTTCTGCGCATGTGCAGATCACCTTTGATGACGTCCGGGTCAGTGGGCGGAGCCTCCCGCTGGTTTTACTACGGGGGCAACCCACCACTGCCCCCCCGGGGCACCAGAGGCCCTCCGGAGGTCGGAAATAGGCCTGTTTCCACACTTCCGGTAGGCCTGTTTTTCACCCTCCCAGAGCCTCTGTGCGCCGCCCTGCACTTACCTGGCATCCAAACGGGCTGCATGGAGACCCCTGGGAGGGGAGGGGAGGGGAGGGATGGGCAGGGTCAGCTAGTCCTTGGAACAACCGGTTCACCAAACCAGATTAAAATTAACATCCGGTTTGCCCAAACCAGTCCGAACCGGCTGAACCCTACTCCTGGGTGGTTTAGACTCTCCCTCCAACTGAGGAGGAATGGAAGCTTATAAATAAATGTTTTATTATTACATTTATTAAATTTCTAGGTTATGAACCAAAGCAGCTCTGGGTGGCTTACAGTATAAGTATAATTTTGCTCGTTTGTATTAAGGCATGGAGTAATTCCATTGCCCATAATATAGGTCCTACCACAAGAGAGTGCAGAACGAAGCGCTGATTTTAGCCATATGACAGAACCTTCAAAAAAAAAAATTCCTTCATCGATGATCAGCTGAACTGCTTTGCAAATGTGGGGGGGGGCGGGTTTGCTAAATGCCCACCTATTTATTCTTAATTGACTGGTATAAAGGTTCCACATTTGCCCATTTACAGTACTCCAAAACTGCAGTTTCCAACTAATTCTGATTTGTTTTTTTTTTTTAAAGAGTCTAAAAGCAAAGGAAGGTATTTTCTGCTAGGACTTCTTTCTAATTGAAAATGCGAGAGAGTTCGACCTGCCCCCCCCTTTATGCATATATTATAGCACATCTCCCAATACTTCCCCCCTTCCCTATCTTGACTGCCCCAAACCAGAAAGAAATCCCCCCCCCAATGCAAACTGCTCAGCTGGTTTATGCCATCAGCAGCCAATGCACCGAGCTCTGAGTGGCGCTGCAGAAAACAGCTGGCGCCTGGTGTCGAACTGCAATGCAGATCCAAGCCTGGGATTCATGCAGTGAGCCCGGCAGCTGAGTGAGGTCAGAAAAGGCCACTTAGCATCTGCAGAGCTGCATGGGGTCTCCAGATCAATAGTTACAGCTGAAGAGGCAAAAGAGGACATGAGAGGGGGAACATAAGGCTGCCTCCCATCCCCGTGGTAGTATTTATTTTTTAGACGGACTCAAAGCTCAGCTGCCTTTAAGCAGGCAAATGCTGAGCCAGCCACCTCAGCATTTAGCTAAGCATAAGCCGGCGTTCTCTTTGCCTGTTGAGTTTTTCTGTTCTCTACAAGCATTAGGAGAAAAAAAAGGCATTTTTCACTGCTTCTGAAAAAGGAGCCTCGCAAGTATGTTAAATGTGGCTCAAAGCTTTGCTGGCTGCATTGTTCCCCTTTCTCTTTCTGCAAGGGTCAAATCATTCTTTGAATACAAGCAGTCCCTATGACCATAATTGAGACCAACATTTCCATTGCTAAGCAAGGCAGTTGTTAAATGTCTACTTTAATGAAAAGAAGGACTAGGGGAGACATGATAGCAGTGTTCCAGTATGTCAGGGGCTGCCATAAAGAAGAGGGAGTCAAGCTATTCCCCAAAGCATTTGAGAGTAGGACAAGAAGCAATGGGTGGAAACTAATCAAGGAGAGAAGCAACCTAGAACTAAAGAGAAAATTTCCTGACAGTTAGAACAATTAATCAGTGGAACAACTTGCCTGCAGAAGTTGTGAATGCTCCAACACTGGAAGTTATTAAGAAGATGTTGGATAGCCATTTGTCTGAAGTGGTGTAAGGTCTCCTGCCTAAGCAGGGGGTTGGACTAGAAGACCTCCAAGGTCCCTTCCAACGCTGTTTCTATTCTATTCTATTCTATTCTATTCTATTCTATTCTATTCTATTCCATTCCATTCTTTCTCTATTCTATTCTATTCTATTCTATTCTATTCTATTCTATTCTATTCTATTCTATTCTGTTCTGTTCTGTTCTGTTCTATTCTATCCTATCCCATTCCATTCTATTCCATTCCATTCTTTCTCTATTCTGTTCTATTCTATTCTATTCTATTCCATTCTTTCTCTATTCTGTTCTATTCTATTCCATTCTTTCTCTATTCTATTCCATTCCATTTCTCTATTCTATTCTATTCTATTCTATTCTATTCTATTCTATTCCATTCCATTCCATTCCATTCTTTCTCTATTCTGTTCTATTCTATTCCATTCTTTCTCTATTCTATTCTATTCTATTCTATTCTATTCTATTCTATTCTATTCTATTCCATTCCATTCTCTACTCTACTCTATTCTATTCTATTCTATTCCATTCCATTCTCTACTCTATTCTATTCCATTCCATTCTCTACTCTATTCTATTCTATTCCATTCCATTCTCTACTCTATTCTATTCTATTCTATTCCATTCCATTCCATTCTCTACTCTATCCCATCCCACCCCTATCCTTATCCCTCTCCTATCTGAGTAGTGCCCAATTTTATTATCATTTTGTCACAGTCGTTAAGGAAATCACTGCAGAATCACAAACATGCAGTCGTTAAGCAAATCCAGCTTCCCCCACTGACTTTGGGGGCCGTTGCAACTTTGAACGCTCGCAAAATGAACTACTGTAAGTCGAGGACTACCTGTAATGGAGTCATACACTGGGCTAGATGTTCTCTAAGGGGCCCTTGAAGCCCTTATACTCTACATTTCTGTATCAGAGAAGAGAAGCAGTTTGGTGTAGAGGTTAAGGCATCAGGCTAGAAATCAGGCGACCTTGAGTTCTAGTCCCTCTTTATATCACCAAACCAGTTGGTTGATTTTTCAGCCAGTCCCTCTCTCTCAGCCCTGGGAAGGAGGCAATGGCAAACCCATTCCTGAAACCTTACCTACAAGGACCAGCTCAGGTAGTCCGCTAGAAGTCAACACTGAGTCAAAGACATTTAAAAATGTTAGGGAAAGGCTGTTTTGACCAAATGTTGAAGGCTGAACATTTGAGGAATTTCTCTCTGCAAGGGTCATTTCCACAGACCCTCTCTTGATAACCAGGTTTTAAAAAGTGACAGGTCCCTCCCCCTTCCTGTGTTAGATCCTTGTAGCTTTGGGACACATTTCAAAAACCCTCTGCAAGAAATCGGTCTCCCATTCAACTGCTGAGTCTAATACACAAGAGTGAGCTGCCTTTTAAAAGCCTTTATGTTCTAAAAATAAGATGACACACTATATTGCTTTATGCGCTCTGCATGTATTGCTCTACGGCTGAAGATATAATGAAAAGCTTAATAAATGCATTAATTTTATAACAGATATTATTTATCCTATGGATGTTTCATCTGTTAATTAACTTTGGGTTATGTTTAGTTCATTTTAATTACTGTAACACACTTTTTTTTCCTTCATTGCATAATTGCTATTTAATGGAGGCATCGTAGGAGGAGAGCTATGCTATTTATGATAGCCAAAATTAAGCAAGAAATCTGATAGCACCTTTACGGATTAATTATTTTTCTTAAAGCCATCAACTTTCACAAGCTTCAGCTCCCAAAAGCTTGTCTTTTAATAAAATATATTGATTGGAAAAGCTGCTACTTGATTCCTCCTGAACAAAGGTAGTCCTTGCTTAACAATTGTCTCATTTAGCAACCATTCTCAGTTACAACAATGATGCTAAAGTGACGTTATGACTAATCATATTTACAACCTTCACAGGTCTGTAAAGCAAAGCTCAAACAAGATCATAACTTGTTAACCTCCTAACCTTTGAATTTTTAACCCTATTTATTTTTTACTTGTAAGTTTTAACTTGTTTTTAACTCTGTTAAAAATTTGTTTAAGCTATGCTTTTATTCTCGTACTAATCTGGTTTTATTGTGCTGTTGTAAACCGCCAAGAGTCACTTAGGTGAGATGGGCAGTGTAGAAATTTAATAAATGAATAAACCGGTGTGGTTTCACTTAGCGACCACTTCACTTAACAAAAAAGTTACCAGTTTCAATTG